GGCATTCTTGCTCTGCATTTACTAGCTCTGGGAATGTGGGCAAAAGAATTTTGGTCTCTCAGCATCTGTAAAATGGGAGCATTGCCATCTAGTCAGAAGGCTTTTGTAAGATCAAAAGGGCCAAGAGCTATAAGGAATTTGATCCATGTGGGGCTGATGGGCTTGCTTGTTGCAAATCTTTGCTTCCTCCTAGGGCACGTATGTGTTTCCTGGGCCACCACTCTTCCTTGGGAATAAACAGCTGGAGGAGGCCACATCTACCCTTTCTGGGCTGTGGGTAAAACTGCTTTTGCTTTTCTTGCACTCATCCCACCTCTTCCCCCAACTCTGCCTCTCTACAGCTTGCCCGAGGAGGGGGGCAGCGCCTTTTCTCTTTTATCGAGATGAGAAGCCTGCCTTCCCCTCTCCTGCCCTTGCCCACATCCCACCCACCCTTGCGGCCACTTGGGGAGTTTCCCTTGGTGGCAGAGCTATCTGGGGATAGGCTGCCGAAGTCAAAAATAGGGCAGACAAGAAAGGGAGGCTTGACAGGAAGTCCAAATAAGCACTTCCTCCCACCCACTTTCAAACTTCTGAGGTACCTCCTTTAAAACAGCAAAGAGATCGAGAGGGTGAAAAAGACATGTATTTTTTTTTTTAAAAGAATGAACTTGTCAGCTTTGAGGAAGTGGAAAATATTGCTCCTCATTGTCTCGCATGTAGCCGCTGATTCCTGCTCTCCTCGTGTGTATCCCAGGATGGGGGAGGTGAGGACTGTGTCCAGTCTGGGGTGGCAGGTGTGTCTCGAGGGCGGTCGGGACAGAGTACAGCATGGCCCGAGGAAGGGCTGCTGTGGGCTGGCACCAGCGTCTCCCCACCTTCCCTACCCTGCAGCCTCCAGGAGCTCTGGTGAGCACGGCCCCTGTACCTCCCAGGGTGGTTGCATGGAAAGCCTGTCTCCCCCCCAAGCCCCCGGTACACCCATTCTGAGGCAGGGTCACCATATTCTGTGTCTTAGTGTATGGCCGCCGAGTGTGTGGAACTGCCCTGCCCAGGGCAGGGGCCAGGGCCCCTCTGGGCTTTCCTGCTCTACCTCTTATGTGGGTGGAGCCCTTTGCCATCCAGAAGGATTCCACACAGATGGCGCTTCTATTACCGACCTCTGAGGATGGAGGGGAAAGCTGTCTCCTCCTTGTGAAGGTCACAGCTGTGGTTCTTGTTCCCTCTGTAGGCAAACCCACCCAGGCTCTAAAGAAAGTTCAACAGCAATTCACTCCAGCAGTAGCTCACCTCGAGTGGTACATGCAGCCATAAAATGTTGGTGGCGGTGAGGCTGGGGTCACCCCACGCGAGGGCATTTGTCTCCATCGCCCACAGTGCCCCATGTCGTCACCCTCTCCATGTCACATGCCACCACTTTTGTCTCTCTCCCCAGCCAAGAGCCTCGGTACAAATCAAATCCAAATAAGCACGTCATCTTACCCACCTTCTAATGCCTTACGGGCCTCTCTTAGGAAGTCAACACACTCTCCCCCCCAAAAGCCTACTTCCCATTCTCTCTTGGGGTCCCATGACAAGTCCCCAGACCCTGCCCCCGCCCCACATGCAAAAGCTGCAGCTTCCAAGTCTCTTCTAATGAATTGCTTATCTTTCTCACCCCTCAAATTAGCTGTGAAGAAAACAGTTATCTCCCCACCTCATTCTGCAGTGGGTCAGTGGGAAGAGAGGGGGCTTTAAGTCCAGATGGGGTGGGGTGAGGCGGGGGAAAGGGGGGAGATCTCCCACTCTGGGTTGCAGTGTGCAATTCCTACATCTGCTTTTAGTCCCTAAGGTCGAAAACTCTGACACCTCACTCCCTCCAAGTGTCACTTTCTTGCCCACAAGCTCATTGATGCCACATGTAAAATTCCTATCCCGCGAGCCCCTATTCCCTATATCAGCGTGTCGTTCTTACTGTATGCTGAGATTTTGCCCCTTCCTAATCTGGAGATAATATCCCAAAGCCTGAGAAGGGCTCTGCTAACATTTCCATTGACTCCTTCACGAGTCCTGGCTTTCTCCACCTGCTGAGGGAGAGGGCATTCCCACCGAGGCCATGGCTTTACATCACTGCACCTTACCTGCCCCTCTCTCTGTTCTGCTTCATGCTTGAAGCCAAGACTGATGCCCATAAGAGGACTGGTGTGAGCTGGCCTGGCCTTCATTGCTGCAGCGTCCCCTCTGCGGTGGGCTGTACCCAGGGGCTGCTATTACGACTCTCCATTTCATAGGCAAAGAGCCTGAGGCTGGGCCAAGAGAGCCGGCCTGCATAGGATCACTATGGTCCTTCTGGCATCCTGAGCGTCTCTCGGAGATGAACTGGCCCTGCCCCCAGAACTTCTGGAACCCTGGGCCAGAGACAGGAGATGTGAAATTCGTGAGTGTTGGGAAATCGCCGAGGACTGAGGAAGGGAAAGTCTCCAGGCCTGAGGCAGCCCACTTCCCCTCGAGTCACCTGTTCTTGGCTGTTTAGCAGCCCTTCTGAGGAGTGGGCCTGTGGTCATATGGGGAGGGGGTGCCAAAGGCCTCATAGAAAGTGCTGGATCCTTTTTGTAACTTCTCCAGATTGCCAACCTCCCTTGCTCTTCATGGAAAGGAGGCTGACAGAGTAGGACAGAGCACAGGGTCTGGAGGCAGAGCTGGGTTTGAATCCCTACTCCACCTGGGTGATTTATGTAACATCTCAGAGCCTTGAGGTGACAGAAAGGGAAGGACCAGGGGCCCTGGACCCAGAGAGGGCGGGCGCCAGATGAGACCTAGTTGCACGACCTACTTTCTGGGTACAAGGCAGCAAGTAGTTTTACCTCTCTGAGCCTCAGCTTTCCCTTCTGTAAAATAGGAGAGGTGATAGTGCGAATAATTAAATAAGACAATTAGTGGCAAGTTTTTAGCATACTCCCTGGCACACGGGAAGGACTCTGGGGGTTTCACCCATGATGAGTCTTCTCTCCATCATCACCGTCATCCACATTTCTTACCTGCCGTGTCTCTCTTCTAAATGGGCTCCATGGATTGTCCATCTTGGCCACATTTGTTGGAGAGTTCTTTCAAAGGAACCTAATTTTTAGCTATACCTTAATTCAATTTCTGTGTTTCTGTAGATATTTATTCTCCTGAGTGGGAGTGAACATCATTAAAAAAAAAATGCTTCTACTTGTAAGAATGATCTTAAATATTCCTTTCCACTGGTGCTGTGTGTTTTGTTTGCTCACAAAGTACGCGCCACACACACCCACAGGGCCAGAATGTCCTTCCTCTGCTTCATTTTCCAAGGCCCTGCTTCAATTCCAGCTCATTCCACATCTTCTTATTTTTTTTTAAGCTTTGTATTTATTTATTTATTTGAGAGAGAGAGAGAGAGAGAGTGAGCAGGGGCACGAACGTAGAGTTGGGGCAGAGGGAGAGGGAGAAGCAGATTCCCTGCTGAGCAGGGAGCCCAAGGTGATTCGGGGCTCGATACCAAGACCCTGAAATCATGACCTGAGCTGAAGGCAGATGCTCAACCCACTGAGCCACCCAGGCGCCCCCCCGCGACATCTTCTTTGACTACCCTGCCCGGAAGTGATTTCTCTCTATCCTTCTCTTTTCAAATAGCTTTTTGTCATTGACCACTATTCCGGTGATTTGAAACGCCAAGTGACCTCTTCCCCCCAGTGGCAGAGCTTTTGAACGGCACAGTTAGGTACTGAGAGCTCCCAGGCCCTGGAGAGAGCACTTGGCTGGGCGGCCTCGATTGATGACTGGTGCCCCCAGCACCCCTGCACCACATTCTGTGGGCTGTTTCCCAGGTGCTGGGCCTGGAATGAAATGCAGAAGCCCTACAGGCTGGGACAGTGTCAGTGGGGCTCCTTAGATTGTGCGTAAGATGGGAACTCTGCGTGGCCAAAGCTACCCTCGGAAAGGCTTCAAGAACTGACCTCCTCTGGGACCAAGGTTGTGTCACTTAGTAAGTGACAGAGCTTGATGTTTTCCTCAAGCATCAGAACTGAGGGCTGTGTGTGTATGCGGGCGCGCAGAGCATTAGCTGAAGTGGAGAACCTGTGTTTAGAGACTGCGACTTTGCACAAATGTATTTGCTTTTATACACTGGATTTGCCCTCTGCCAACGAGGTGCTCATACTGTGAGAAGTGCGAGGGTCGGAGACCAGCTCAGAGAGCAGCAGATGCCCATGTCCTGCCACAGGACCACTCCAGAGAATGTACTCTTCGGGCAGAAGATATGGAGGAGTCAATGGGGACTAGAATCTATGGGGGAAACCACAGCGGAGAGAGCCCTTGGCAGCATCAACAGCAGTCGCTATTTGTGTGCTCTTGACTTTTTCTTTAAGTTTGTCTAGTTAACTGCATCTAAGGTTTGCGCATATACGAGACGATTCCCGTTCTCCTGTTTTATGGATATGGAAACTGAGACTCCTCCATTTTAAGCCCCGTGTGAGGTTGCACAGGATGGAAACAATCGCATCAGAAGTGAAGCCGGGGTCTGCCCGATGCAGCCCCTTTCTCAGCCCTGGGTGCCCGGCTCACTCCCTGAGAATCCTCTGGTAACTCTACGGAGGCGGTGGCTGAGGGAATGCCAACTTTATCCTTTTGGGAGAGACTGAGAGATGATTGGAAAGCATTAAAAGGCTATACTCCTTACCCCACAGTTTGCTGATGTGGGAGCTTATGTGTATTTGAGGTCAACTGTCAAAATAGATTTTCATCTGCGAAGACCCAGCCAAGCAGGACGGCAGTATAAATATCTGGGTGCCAGGAGTTTTAATGGAAACACACTTGGGCTCACACTGGAGTCTAAGTCCCCTTCACTGTCCCTCCTGTGGGGCGGGGGTGGCCAGGACCAGGGGGAGATTACCAACTCCATCACTCTCTCTACCTCTCCAGCCCCCAGAGCTGGGCTTCCTTGTTTACATATTTAGAGCTGAGCAGAGGAAGTGGTAAAGGAAACTTGCTGAGTCGTTTTCTGAGAAGAGACCATATTTGTTCGCAGAGGAAGCCGTTGCTTTTTGGGATCTGGTTAGAGCAAAAAAGACGTGTGCCCCAACAACGGGGTTCCAGAAGGTAACTTGGAGTTGGAAGAGCAAAGGACACCTCCACGCTGTGGATTTGGAGTTCTCTGTCCATGGGTGCAGCATCCATGCTCCGCTTGTGAGTTCTGTCCCGGGAGAGCAGCCATGGCATTGAAGAACGTGCCCTTTCGCTCAGATGTCCTGGCCTGGGACCCCGACAGCCTTGCAGACTATTTCAGGAAGGTGAGCCTTGCTCTTTGTTGGCGGTGAGGCTGGCGACCCTCGGCGGGCTGGGCAGAGGCTTGAAGAAGGGGTCCGGGCAGAACACGAGAGGTATAAAATAGAGCAGTGGACCTTCCAACCCCACGGCAGCCTTACCAATTAAGCGAGCGCTATGTAGATGCACATGCCTGAGTGTCCCTGGTGATGAGTTCTGGGGAGAAGAGAGGCCCTCAGATGGGTGTGCACCTACTAAGTGCCAGCACTTTAGTTTGCGCTGTGTAGGCATTGTCCCATTTAACACTCTCCAGTATCGCTGTCCTCTTGGCTCAGCTGCAAAGTAGGCTCCAGGAGGTTAAATGACCCAAAGCCCCAGGGACTACATGCGACAGAGGCAGGATTCCAGTCACGCCTTTCTGGCTTCAAAGTCCATGCTCAGAGACTCAGAACTGCTGTAACCACTAATGAGATCGAGGCTGCTTACTAGAAAGGGGTGAATGGAGTCCTGGGCGTGGGAGAAAGCAAAGGCAGGGCAGGAGGGCTGGAGAAGGCTAGGATGAATGTCTGGGCAGTCATTGCTTATGACCTGAAAAAGGGCTCCTCAAGCCCTTACGGAGAACAGAGTCTTGCTGGAGCTTTAGGAGGGTCTTGTGAAGCAGGAGGGAGAACTGCTACAAGCTCCAGGTTGTGATCGGTTGAGACAGCTAGGTAAACTGAGGCCCCTAAGAGGAAGAGTTTTGCCAGCAGGGTCAGAGGCCAAGCTTGTGGCAGACCTGATATGAGAGGGTCACTGTCCTTCCTTCCAGCCCTGGAGGGGCTGCTCAAGGACCCCGTGCTTGGTCATCTGCTGGGGGGACCACAGGTCACACATCTGCTTGGGCAGATCCCAAGCCACATGTCTCAGGGACTCTCCATCTCTGTTCAAGGGATAAGAAGTCTTGTAAGGGACATCTGATCTTCTAACAGCCCCATCCCTGGAGGCTGGGATGGAATTCAGTTGACACTCCAGATGGTTGTAAAGATGAGATTTTAAAGTCAAGACTTTAGAGGTCATTTAAGTCAACTTTCTGTTTTTTGTAGTGGTGGAATGGGGCTCCCTGGGACACACAGACATCTGGGGTCTACATAGTGCCTCACTGCTCCCCCTCCACCTAAAGAAGAGAGATGTGAAGATGTAGAATCGGGTGTGGCATGAAAAAGGCATAGCCCACAGATCCTGTTATTTGCTGCTTTGTGTGTATCTTGTTTTTGTTCTTCTTTCCTCCAAAAGGTCACAATAAACTTAGGTTTCAGCACTGTGGGTGCAAAGGTGGTTGGGACAACTGACTTTTGAAGTATTTTTCTTAAATGTAGACCAAATAAGTTAGGGCAAGAAGGTGAAATTTGCCAAGATGCTATAAAGTGGCATGTTAGCTCAATTAAAGGAAGGAGAAAATATTGAGAATTGGTGAGAGGATCCTGGGAATAGACTGAGAGGCCCAGACAGGCCCCATCTTCAGTGTGAGAAAAACTATAGAACAACTATGCAACAGCAGAATCCATGGGCAAATCCCCCCTTAATGCAGGGAGATGGATGATGGGTCAAGGGTGATTCAGGAAAACGGCCATCTGCCTGAGCTGGGGGAAGGGAGAACCTCCTTCTTGGAGACCCCAGACCCTGGGACACATCTGCAGCACTGGGACAGGTTCCTTCTTCAGACATAGGAAGAAAGAAAGAAAAAGAAAGAAAGAAAGAAAGAAAGAAAGAAAGAAAGAAAGAAAGAAAGAAAGAAAGAAAGAAAGAAAGAAAGAAAGAAAAAGAAAAGGAAGAAAAACGATGGTAGGATGAGGAGATTAAAGGGAATCTGTGATCCAGAAAGTCCCATCCCCAACAGACTCAGATGGATGCCTTTCAAATCCTGGGCACCTTAATTTCCCCAGAAAGAAAATATCAAGTGAACTGACCATGGACCATGAAGTCATTTGGGGATGGATCTTAGTCATCAACTATCCTATTCAAAGGCTCCATGGCCAGGTGCAATTTCTACTGAAGCAGAGAGGTTGGGACCTCTTCAGAGAGACACCTCCCAGTCAGCTCTAGAGTCAGACACTTTGGTTGGAATCTTGGCTCTACCACCTGCTAGCTTGGTGACCTTCCCTTTGTTACTACAACCTCTCTGAGCCTCAGCTTCCTCATCAGTGAAATAGAGACGCTAACAGCAAATACCCTCATGGGATTGTTAAAAGAATTAAAGGAGATATGGTGTGTGCAGCATTCAGCAGCTTGAGGGGGACCAATTCATGTTTGACAGTCCCTTTTTCCTGCTCTGTTTACCGGGCCCTAGCTGGGGATGCCCACGCAGATTGGCAGGCTTTTGTGTCTTACTGTCTTAGATATGTGTAGCTAGGAAAGCTAGTCCCTGAGGACAGAGGTCATGTTTTGGATTTTTTAACCCCAATTTCTTTCTTTCTTTCTTTCTTTCTTTCTTTCTTTCTTTCTTTCTTTCTTTCTTTCTTTCTTTCTTTCTTTCTTTCTTTCTTTCTTCCTTCCTTCCTTCCTTCCTTTCTTTCTTTCTTTCTTTTCTTTCTTTTTCTTTCTTTCTTTCCTTTCTTTCTTTCTTTTTCTTTCTTTCTTCTTCCTTCCTTCCTTCCTTCCTTCCTCTCTTTCTTTTTCTTTCTTTCTTTTTAGATTTTCTTTATTTATTTGAGAGAGAGGAGAGCAGGGTGAGGGGTAGAGGGAGAGGCAGATGTGGGGCTTGATTCCAGGACCCTGGGATCATGGCCTGAGCTGAAGGCAGATACTTAACCAACTGAGCCACCCAGGCACCCCTAACCCTTCCAATTTCTTTTGACTTGGCATGAGAGCATCCCTGGCCATGCCGTGGTGAGGCACTGGGTTAGAGCCATTTCTAATCCCTGCTATGCTCCCAACCCACTGTGTGACCTTAGGCCAATCCCTTCCCTTCTCTGGGCCTCAGTTGTCTCATCTATAACACCAAGTACCTGCTCTAGACCACTGCCTACCAAAGCTGGGTGCTCATAGAATCCTCTATGTGCTTGCTAAAAATACAGATTCTAGCCCCCAGGCCCAGGTATTATGATCAGAATCAAACTTCTAGAGAGGCCTCAGTCCACAGGGCTATCTGTCTATGTAGAGTAAAAGTCAACAATCTGCAAAATCAGAGCTTTATCTGAAAATGATGACAGTGAATGATGAATTAAAGTCAGTTGGATATTCCAAGAACTACTTCTACCCCATTGCATGGAAATAGAAAGGATGCTCATGGTGCCTCAGATGTTGCTCATGTTCCACACTGACCTCGAAATCAGCTTTTTCTAAGTGTTTTAACATTTATCCCACCCTTTCAAGCCAAGAGACTACAACAATTATATTCACTTTTTAGATTGATTGACCATAAAAAAAAAAAAGACCGTGATTTGCCCCCAAAAGAAGGCTGCCACAAATTGTGAGGCTCACACTTGTGATGAGAACCAAAGATTCTCCAGGACAAACATTTCACCTTAAATACTCCAGCCCAAAGTATCACATTTGGAGGTATTTCAAATGCAAGTTCTTAGGCTGTCGAAAATACGGTGAAACAGAAAAGTGATAAGATTGTCAATTGATGTGATTCTTTGGGAAAGCAACCAAGATCATTCCTGTTGATCTTATAACTTATTCTGAGAATCCAGCTTAATTTATCTTAAATAGAGCAAAAAAACTGTGTGCAGAAGGATATCCATGATGTTCTTTCTATATTTTGATCTGGATGGTGTATTAAGGTACACTTAAATTTGTTCACTTTACTTACTATAAGTTACCCTGTTACTAACAAAAAGGAGAACATTAAAGCCTTGTTCTGAAGCCCGATTGTCACCCCTGTCACCTGCTACCCATGGACCTCGTGTAAGTTACTTAACTTTCTGCACTTTTGACTCTCTGGAAGATGTGAAGATTAAAGACTTAAGATTGGTTAAAATACACAGAAGAGTGCCTGCCAGATAGCAAGCACTCAGTAATTATCAGCAGTTTCTATTACCACTATTGGAACAGCTGTTTGGTAAACAACCTAAATGATCAGCAATAAGGGAGTAATTAAAGAAAACAATGTTTAGAGTAAGTCGGTGATAACATGAGGCAATGCCTCCATTACCATTTTAAGGTAATTTTAAGAGAAAAAGTTAGGATAAGATTAAATATCTTATCCTGAGTGATAACCTCCTTTATGTTTAGAGATGGCTCAGAATAAAGCACTATAGGAAACACATCGAATGTTCTCCAAGGTTGCCTTTTGGTGGTGACACAATGGTTGCTATTGATTTTCTTTTTCTCACCTCTTCTTTGAGTGTCTGAGAAGCATGTGGCCAGACTTTGTAGGCTTAAAGGCACTCTCTTTTTGTAGAGGTTGGCCCCAAAACTTTAGACGGAGGCAATTTCTCCATTTCAGAGAGTCCCAAGGGGCAAGTGAAAGCAGAGCTGAGGTAGGGATGGGGCCCGTCTGTTACAGTGGGGGGAAGGGGGGTAGGGGTCTGGCTAGCCACAAGTACCACAAATTGCTAAGCTTCTGGGGCAGGCAAGTGAGGGGAGCTAATGGCTTGCACCTGCCCGCCACTGACAGCACCTTCTCCTTCCCTTTGCAGCTGAACTACAGGGACTGTGAGAAGGCAGTGAAAAAGCATCACATTGATGGGCAGCGGTTTTTGGTAAGTGCTGGCCAGTTTGACACATTAAGACCAAAGCTGTTCCACAAGTTAACCAATCCTGGCAGAGCCAACTGGTCTACCCTGTTCCTGGGGATACTCAGGGTCAATGCCCGTCTTCAGGATCCCCACACAGCCCTTTGCCATCTTCTGAGGTTTTATATGGCCCCTGCTGTCATCACCTCTCAGGATCCTGCTATCCAGGATACGTCCCAGGCTTTCACTGATACCAAGGTACATTCTAAAGTCAAAGTGTAAGGAGGAATCCAAGTACAGCTCTCTCTCTCTCTCACACACACACACACCTTGAAAATCTTTTCAAATGCCAACCATACTTTGAGAAGCCTAAGGGGAAAAAAGACCATTTAGGAGAACAGAAGATTCTTTTTTCCCATCTCTCATGTTGGAGTACATGCTCACTGAATGGAATAAAATGTGAAATCTCCCTCATTATTCATTACATCCCTCTTTCTCTCTACCAAATTCACACAGTTTTTTGCCAATTAAACACATGTGATAGGACTCTCTTTACTCCATTATATTGCAAAGAGCTTTAATATAATACTAAGAGGCAGTCATATGTGAAGGACTAAGCCCTTGAATGGAAAGAGAGGCAGCTTTGAGAGACCATACCTAGTCATTGGACTAAAGCACACACTTAATTTACTTTAACACTGCATGAGTTTTTAACATTGTTATTTCTTCATACTGAGCCTTGAGCCTAGGGAATACCTGGAGCTTTGAGAGGTGGGAAGTGGCTGGGAGGTGGTCTGAGCATTTCCCCTGAAATGTCACCTTTGCCTATGGATGAGACAGACCCCAGCTGTACCAGTCTACCCCCTTCCCATCTCATGCTTCCTTGCCCTTCAAACGAAGTGGGGACAAGACTTCAAAAGTCTCATGGGTAGATGCTCCCAATTTGGATTAGGAGTGAGGAGGGCAAGGTAAGTTGTGTTTCCCTGCAAGGCGTGGTTAGGAGCAGTGAGGTCAGCAGCCATAAGACTTGGGGGTTAGAAGGGGCCAGAGAGGTTATGAGCTCTAGCTTTCTGCCCAGCACTCCAAACCATTTCCTATATTGCATCCCTGCCATTAACATCTGCTTGAATTCTTTTAGGGATGGTGTGCTCACTACCACACATATTCATCTGCCCTTTTCTAGGCAGCTCTTAAGTTTCATGCTGAGACCAAACTGTGCCCTACTGGTCTGAGCTTTGCTTTCATGTGCCATGTAAGACACGTGTGTTCACTGTTTCACCTAAATCATGCATGAATTCACCCATCCATTCATCTCACAAGCATTTTCCTGGGCTCCCTTTACATACAGGACCATGCCACATCCTGGGAATATAGAGATGACTATGGTGTGATTTCTGCCTTCCAGAAGCCTGTTTTATGGCAAAAAAACTATCTTCAGGAAGGCTCCAACCACCCCATTTGCAACTGAGGAAATGTGTACAGAGGCTGATGTGAATTTTCTAAGTCCCATGCCTAGTCATTGGACTAAAGCACACACTTAATTTACTTTAACACTGCATGAGTTTTTAACAATGTTATTTCTTCATACTGAGCCTTGAGCCTAGGGAATACCTGGAATTTTGTTGCTGTTGATCTTGGCACCTTAGTACTAAATGTAAATATTTCCTTCTGGTGCCTTTACCACTGAGAACTGAGATCTGAGACTTATCGGTGCTGAATGGACAGGGAGTAAGACCTCTTTGAGGATGGTCCTGCTTGCAGCCCTGATGCTCTGGGATCACCTTGAGCAAGCACTTGCCTTCTCTGAGCCTCTCTCTCTTCTCCTCCTGAGCAAGAGCACGTTGGATTGATGGGTGACAGTCCCTTCCAGTCCCCACAAGACTCCCTGTGTGAAGCTCAGGCATGCTAGGACCGGGTTGTTTCCATGGCGGAGAGATGCTATCAGTCGCTGTCTCCTCTGCTCCTGTATCCAGGACCTATCAGTCCCTGGAGACTGCCACATATCATGCTTATCGTGTGAGCGGGAGGAAATGGAAAGAAGGGCACTAGGAACCAGGAGAACGGGGAGCAGAACCAAGTATCTGGCCCCGCAACTGGGGTGTTTAAAGACAGCTTCTCCTGAAACCCACCGTCCACCCCAGGTGCTCTGGGTACAGCGTGAGCTCTGGGTGGAGCTCTAAATTCTCATCCGTCACTCCTGGTTTTGTAATATCAGGGACCATTCTGCTCCTGAAGGCAGCAGTGGAAGGCCGCATTCTCTCTGTCTCTGTCTCTCTGTCTCTCTTTCTCTCTCTCTTTTCGTTGTTGGGGCTAGTAGGTCCCTTGTATCTGTGTTGCTCCTATTTTGGTTTCCCAGTGAGAAGAGAAGAACCTCATCTGGTGGGGAAGGGGGTGCCATACTTACAGAAGGTTGAAAGAGGAAAAAAAGTGTTTGGAACTGTGTCAGTTAGGAAGGCATGTGGCTGCCTTTAACAGAAACCTGACCACAGTGGCTTAACCAAACAGGGGTTTATCTTTCTCAAGTGATAATGAATCTAGAGCAGGCACTAGGGGCTGGTGAGCTGCTGAACGCAGTCATCGGGAACCCAGCCCCCCCAACCCATCTAGTCTGTGGAAAACGCCTGTGGCTTTTGTCGGAGAGTCTGCAGGTTGGCTATGCCACCTCCAGACCTCACATCCACATTCCACGCAGGAGGAAGGGGGCAGGGCAAAGAGTAAAAGGCACAAAATTGCGTGGGGAATGCCTCCCCTCCTATTCAGGAAAGTAGTAACTTTTCCAGAAGTTCCATCCAGTAGACTTCAGGTTATATCTCACTGGGCGCAACTGAGTCCCATGACCTCCGCTATCTGCTGGGAAGTGTTTGTGGACATGGCACATTTACTGCCCCAAATGAAATCCAGGTCCAGGCAGAAAGGGAGCAAGGGAGAGTGGGTACTAGGTGGGCAGGCAGCAGCACCCATACGTCGCCTCCCCGGGCAGGGCCCATCTTGAGGACACACTCAGCACCTAATCGCGCTCCTGCAAAGGCACAAGGGATCATACGGGTACCCCCGAGTGGCTGGAGGTTTTAGAAGGAGGTAGAGAAGGGGTTACATTATGCGGCAGAACTCTCTGAAAATCCTGTTTAAACGTCTCTCATCTTTCCTCTCCATTCCTGTCCTGTTCTAAAGGCCTTTCTCTTCCTTAACATCCTGCTCCTCTGCATCTCCAGCCATGTTCAAGAACACCTTCTCCTTCACACTCTTGCTCAGATTTCTTCAGCCCACATCCTCAATGAGGCCAAACAGAAGGCAGGCGTGCCAACCACCCTGTATGCGGCCACCAGCCCCCTGGCAGCCCCCAGATAGCCTGCACTCACCATGCCACTCTGAACATGAGTCTTGGCACATCCCTGAGAGGGGCTGGTGTTGGAGGAAGGAGAAGCTGCTGCTTAGAGACATTAAAAAGAATAAAAGAGAGGGGCGCCTGGGTGGCACAGTCCAACTCTCGGTTTCCACTCAGGTTGTGATCTCAGGGTCTTGAGCTCTGTGTTGGGCTCTGTGCTCAACGTGGCATCTACTTAAGACTCTCTTCCAGGGCACCTGGGTGGCTCAGTCGGTGAAGCATCTGACTTTGACTCGGGTCATGATCTCAGGGACCTGGGATTGAGCTCTATGTCAGGCTCCTCGCTCTCCTTCTCCCTCCCCACCAACCTCCCGCCCCGAAATATAAATCTTAAAAAAAATAAAAAATAAAAAAAGAGAGAGGTTAAGAAGCTTGACCAAAAGCCCGATTGTCTCAGGACTCTGGGCAAACTCCGGCCCCAACCCTGCTGCCAGGTCTGCTAAGGGGGCTGGGTCAGACACTGTGCCCAAGAGCTGCAGCAGGTGAGCCCAATGGACTCATTGCTAAGATGCCCCAGCCTCGGCACCACTGGGCTCAAAGGGGAGCATGCCCAGCTCTTTCCCGTAGGCAACCAACAACCTGCCAGGTGGCTCCCAGCCCAGAGCGGGAGCAGGGGCAAAAACTAACCTCTGAGAGACAGCCAGACCCCAGCTTATTATTATTTATTTTCATGTAAATTATTCACATAAGGTTTATTATTCACAGAGGGTGTGCCAAGCACCGAGCCAAGTACACGACCCACTTCATCTCATTCAGTGCTCACAACCCCTGAAAGGTGGCCCTTATTAGTATTTTACAGATAAGGAAGCTGAGGCTCGGGGTGCTTAAGAGTATGCCCCAAATCAGACTGCTGTTCAATGGATGAACCAAGATCCCAACCCAGCCTGTCTGACTACAGAGCTTTCACCCTAACCACCTGTTTTCCAGCTTCGGTTAGAACATCAGTGGATCCCTTTCTGTGGCTCAGCATTCGTTCCATGGAAAGTGGGCTCACCCTCTTTTCTGGTTCTGCGATTGGCACCCTGCCTCTCCTGCTCTGGGACACTTCCTTGTCTTACCCTTCCCACCCTCTTCCCCTCCAGCATGGGTCACCATGTCCCTCAAAGGGATCAGTTGTGGGAAGAGGGAAGTTTGCAGGAAGAAAACTGACCACGGATGCCACAGAGTCGGGCTCCAGCCCCAGTAACATCACCTACAAGCTGAAATTCCCTTAACATCCCAGAGCCTCAGCGTTCTCACCTGTAAAATGGGAACACTAATGGTTCCTAAATCCCAGGATTGACATGAGGGTTAATCAGGGTGTGAGTAAGGCAGAGCCCCAGAGTCAGTTCTTCACAGATATGGGTTTCTTTCTCCTCTCCCCTCTCTGTTCCCTCAGGAAAGCCTCTTTATTGTATCCCCACATCTAGAGAACGCTACCAATAACCCTGATGAGAGAGGCTTTGGGGTGTGATGGTGGCATAAGGGCCCAGACCCCTTCTCCAGGCTGGCTTCTCATAGCTTCTCCATATGGAAACTGAGAGGGACCCTGAAGTCTGGGGTAAGAGCCTAGGGAAGAGGTCGCAGCGTGACCAAATTCAGCCCACAAAACAGGTTGTTTGGTTCTACAATTTAGCTCTCATCATGTTTGTTTCTTATCGTAAAATTATTTGTCAATACTTCAAACTCAGGAAATGTCACCTAAATCCAGATTTGGGGATTCCCTTTGAAAAAGTAGATCTGGCCACATCAGGCCCACTGGTGTTTTATGCAACATCTAGAAGCTGTCGCTTTGGGTAGGTGTGGGGAGGTGGGCTCTTCAGTTTGCTGCAGTCCCCACTACTCCATTTCTCACCTCACTCTCCTCACCTGGGCCAGAGCCCTTCCTGTGTGGGTTGTAACCCGCCTGTGTGTCTTGATTTCAGAACCTGACAGAAAATGACATCCAGAAGTTCCCTAAGCTCCGGGTGCCGTAAGTACTCACCCCAATTTCTTGTGTGTTGGGGAATGAGGCTGGGATGGGAAGTAGTCCAGGGAGCACTGAGACACTTAATCTATGACTGTTGGTTTGAACTAGGAGAGTGAGCAGGAAGGGGAGAGGCAAGGGCAGGGCACAGGAAAGAGAAGTTTCATGATAGGTTGAGAAAAAGAAGTAACAGATTCAGCCCAGCTGGTGTGTTGCCTGGTCTTGCCAAAGACAAGCCTGACTGGGGACCGGGTTTTCATTTCCTCTCTCCCAGTGGGGCGGCTTGGGCATGAGGGCATCACACCAGATCAGTGATTGCTTAAGCTTTCCCGACCTCAGTTTCCAGCTCAGTAAAATGACAGAGTTGGACTAGATGAAGAATGGCAGTGGACATCATTCTGGCTGTCAATACTCATTGCTTGAATGGCTGTCGGGGCACCATCCTGAGAAGAATTGCGAGCAAGGGGGGCCATGATGCACTACCGAGGCCCCACGTGGGTGCTGAAATGAGAGGTATCGTGCACCTCGTGTCGTTTATTTTCACCGCTCTAGTAAAGGTCTCACACACCCAAATGCTTACCGGAGCCAGGCGGGTGATACAAATGTGTAAAATGGGTCAGGTTGAAAAATACGAAGTCCTCTCAATTTCTCTTTCATTTAACACCTTTGGATAGACTACGGGTATGAAGAAATATTTCTCCACTATAAGAAATATAATAGTAAAGTATGATGAGAAAAGAGGTCATCAACACAAAGCCTCATTGTTGGTGAAAAACTAGGAAGTGCTAGAGACTGTGGCAAATCAGGATGATAGTTTCCATCCCAAGAGAGCTGCAACTACTCGGCTCCAATCCATTTGGACCCAATGATGTCCAATCTTTGAACTTATCAAAAGTCCCTACAAATATTGATTTTTGTAATATATTCTTAATATACATAATAAGCGTGTAATAAAATATATTTGTGTAATATATATGTACCTGGTCTTGAGCACATTTTGGTTTGCATCTCTTGGTTCCCATACAACACTAATACTTCATTCATTTAATGAACTGCTACTAGATGCCGATATAATGTGTCAGGCCTTTGTTAAGGGGCGGAATCCCCACCTCAGGACACACATTCTAGTGGGAGGGTCAGATATACAAAGCAATCCTACAACAATTATAACGGTGCTGTGGCGTATGCAGGTCCACATTCCGTGGGAGTAGGAAGGCGAAAGTCACTTTCCCCATGGCATTCAGGGAAGACTTCGGGGTGGCAGGGAAGCTAAGTGGGATCCTGACATATGCCAGAAGTGGTCAGATGAAGAATGGGTTGATACTCTAGGAATGGGGACTATCTTGCAAAGGCATGGGCACCAGGGAGTTGAATTGAACAGCAAGTGGGTCAGAGCAGCTAGGGGTACACCAAGCAAAGAGGCTGCAGAACTGGTCACAAATGAGAAGGGTCCTGTGAGCTGTCCTAAGGAGCCTAAGAGGGTTGGGGAGGTGAGGGCCACAGGGAGAACAGGGAGATAAAGCTGGTGTCTTGACTTTCTCCAGGGCAATGTAAAAGATGACAGGCGAGGGCCCAGCTGAAGGCAGGGAAGGAAGCTAGCGGATGAGGGACATGACCCCACTCATGGGATAGGAGCCTCAGCGAGGACCATGGCCCTGAACACACAGGGCAGAGGGGATTGAATCAGAGCAGTGGAAGGAAGGAGATAAGGAAGGCACTTTCAGCTCGGAAGATCTTTTTTTACCTTAAGGCTGGGCTCACTTGATGTCTGGAGCTATGCTGGAGTGTCTGGAGAAGGAGGCGGGTGAGAAGTGGTTGCTAGTTAGTGTGGAAGGCAGATTGTAAACACTCGTGTTGCGGGTGCCGTAGGGGTGGGGCATTTCTTTAGCCATTTGAAAACGGAAACAGAATCCCTGTCCAATGTGTGCATGTGTGCCCCAGACAAGCTAGGAAGCTGCCCATGGGGCACGAAGGTGAACGGGGAGTAGTGGGGGAGGCACCTAGGGAAGGTCCGGGCTGCCCTGATTCGATGACTCTCGAACAGTTACCGACCCTCTTGGTAGATGTGGATAACAAGCACCAATCCCAGCTCTACTTACTAAGAGTTCTGTGCCTGGGATGAGTCCCTCGTCCACTCTCAGTTTCCCAAGTCTGTAAAATAAAAGATGACTGTGGAGGCTCGCTCTTCTAGGGGGTTATAATTTTAGGTGTGAACAGGCAGACTGGAGAGCTTAGTGAGTGAAAGTATAAGTTCTGAGGTCAGAGTGCTTTAAACCCAATTCTCCCGTTCACTAGCTGTGAGTCTGTGGGCAAGTTGCCTGGATTCCTTGAGCCTCAGATTCCTCATCTGTAAAATGGGGATAATAGCAGAACCTACCTCAGAGAGTCAGCAGGAAGGAATAACAGTACACACTGAGCAAGTGTTAGCGGTTCCTGTTATTTTATGCAAAATCCCAATGAGTACAGTTCTAAGTTTTTCCTAACCATGCTATCCTGCCAAAGGGGGAGGATTGAAAGGCATGGGCTTCGGAGCAAGAGAGCCAAGTTCTAAAGCGGACGCTGTCTCCCACCAGCCGTGGAAACTTGGGGAAGTCTCATCAACCCTCTGAGCCTGTGTCCTCATCCGTAGAAGAGAAAAGAACTAACTATGGGGGAGTGCTGGATTTTAAAGGAGGCAGTCCACATGAGCTGCCTGTTGCTGTCCTTGATGCGGATAGATATTCAATACTGATTTGTTCTGTTCCCTTGTACATAGGTTCATTGGCCATAATCATTACCCTAAGGGGCTACGGGAAAGAAATTGTGTTAATGTACAGCAGACCAAAACAAGATTACACTCCTCTGAATATCGGGATTTTCTTCCCCCATGCTTAAAAAAAACCTCTATTAAATAGATTTATAAGAAGGTAGATTCTGGTGAGGAAGACTTTGCAGATACAGGTACACTCTCGGACAGTTCCTCCTAGAGACACCCCAAATACTGTAATGGAGGAGAGTTTTTAAATAAAACAACTAAGCCTCCTTTATAGGGACGGGCTTAAAACCCATGGTATAGCTGAGCCTTATCTGGCTAAATCGGTAGAATACATGTTCAGGTCTGCTGATGCCAATTTGGAGTTTATTTTAAAAATGTGATGAGTTTTATATTTAAATCCATAGTATAACTTAAAAAAAAAATAAGGAGAAGGGAGTGATGGGATGGTGGTGTAGGCAACAGATAGATGTTGGATGTGTCTATACCATGAGTCCCCATTGTGCCCCTTCCCGAGAGTGGAATTAGGCTAGGAAAAGCGAAGATCCCATCAGAGAGGGAATGCGGTAATAACTGGTTACTTGTCCATGCTCCTGCTGAAGCTGCAGGCCTCCTAATAGCAGAGTCAGCCTGCCTGAGAAACAGCAGGGAAAGAAGGAGAGCGTGAGGACCAAGGGAGGGACCCAGAGGTGAGCAGGCCATTCCTGGGCCACTTAAAGAACGTGACCTAGCCTCCCCACAGAATTGCTAGAGTGACAGGTCTGTCTCCACCCTGCTCCTTCCCTCTCCCATCCATGGGCTGATCCCTGTCCAGGTAGCCGGTCTTCCCCACAGGAGAAATGCCTCCTCTCAACTGATGGCCACTCCTTCTCCCCCAAAGCAAGCCCGGAAAACCTGACTTCCCAGCTCAGCTCCACATTACACCCGCTCACGTGGCCTTTGGCAAGTCCCTCTCTTAGTGCCTTGGTGACAAACACGGGAATGATCTGTGTATCACAAAATAATTGTGAAGCACAAGTAAAATACTACGTGTAAAGTCATAGGGGGGTACAAGGCTGAGAAGCGGGGAGACCACGCTAGGCTCTCCTACAGATGGTTCTGCCCTAAGACCTGAGATGACAGTGAAAGGCACCTCGCTGGGTCCCAAGACCCACACCTGGCTTCTCACGTGACAAGGACAGAACTTCCAGAGGTCTGGCTCTTGGTTCAAGGAGGCTGACCCCTAGGGGTGGAGCCCTGTGTTCCTTTAAAGAAGGATGAAATCCATTTGCAATGACGTGGATGGAACTAGAGGGTATTATGTTAAGTGAAATAAGTCAATCAGAGAAAGACAATTATCATATGGTCTCACTCATAGGTGGAATTTAAGAAACAAAACTGGTGAACATAGGTGTAGGGGAGGAAAAATAAAATAAGATGAAAACAGAGAGGGAGACAAAGCATAAGAGACTTAACTCTAGGGAACAAATTGAGGGTTGCTGGAGGGGAGGGGATGAGGGGATGGGGTAACTGGGTGAGGGGCACAGGGGAGGACACGTGATGTAATGAGCACTGGGTGTTGCGTGCAACTGATGAATCACTGACCCCTACCCCTGAAACTAATCAGTCAGTATATGTGAACTAACTAGAATTTCAATGAAACCTAAAAAAATAAGGTAAGTAAAATAAAATGAAGGAAGAAATGCAGAGCAAGAGCCGGAGCCAGAGTGAGAATGCGCGCTGGGTGCCCGCGGGGCGGCAGAGAGGTGGACTGAGGACAGGTGGGCGGTGAGGAGGGCAGAGAGCTGGAGGTGCCCAGCTCAGCAAACAGACTTCACCTCTTCTGGGTCTGGGAGCCTGTCGTCCTGGGAGGGAGCAGCCTGCCCTCTGAAATGCTAGTCAAGGCAGCAAGGCTCCCCTGCGCGCAGGAGGGCCTAGAAGAGGGGAAGAAGAAACACTCTCTAAAGCTCTTACTGTGGGAGGTCTGGTGAGAAATGTGTTTACACTGTAAGCCCTTGAACAGACAGGAACACAGGCAACAACGTAGGCAACAAAGAGATGGCTCCTGGAGCAACCGACTCTTCCTGTGCTCTATGGGCTCTGGCACTTCCTCTCCTGTTGCCTTCTGCCCTGGCCTTCTCCCTCCTCCCTCCCTGCCCTCCTTTCTGCCTGCCTTCCTTTTTATACTTTCCTTCTTACTTCTGTGACCAGCAAAGTTGATTTCGAAATGCAGAGGGGACCTCCACTTGCCCTTGGTAAAGCACAAGGAACCACTGAAAAGCAGGCCATCTCCTCCTCCTCCATCTATTTCCACATCTCCTCCCCCTCTTCCTCCCCCTCCTCCCCACCTCCTCCCCATCTCCTCCTCCTCCCCCATCTCCTCCCCATCTCCTCCTCCTCCTCCCCATCTCCTCCCCCATCTCCTCCTCCTCCCCATCTCCTCTCCCATCTCCTCCTCCTCTCCATCTCCTCTCCCATCTCCTCCTCCTCTCCATCTCCTCCCCCATCTCCTCTTCCTCCTCCCCATCTCCTCTTCCTCCCCATCTCCCCCTCCTCCCCATCTCCTTCCCATCTCCTCCTCCTCCTCTTCCAGCTCGTCCTCCTCCTCTTCCACCTTCTCCTCCTCTCCTCCTCCCCCATCTCCTCCTCCCCATTTCCTCCTCCATCTCTTCCTCCTCCTCCTCCCCCATCTCCTCCTCCCCATCTCTTCCTCCATCTCTTCCTCCTCTTCCTCCCCATCTCCTCCTCCTCCCCATCTCCTCCTCCTCCCCATCTCCTCCTCCTCATCTCCTCCTCCATCTCTTCCTCCTCTTCCCCATCTCCTCCCCCATCTCCTCCTCCTCCTCCCCATCTCCCCCTCCTCCTTTTCCACCTCCTCCCCCATCTCCTAGTCCTCCATCTCCTCCTCCTCCCACATCTCCTCCTCCCCATCTCCTCCCCATCTCCTCCTCCTCCTCCCCCATGTCCTCCCCATTTCCTCCTCCATCTCCTCCTCCTCCCCCATTTCCTACTCCTCTCCCTCCTCCCCATCTCGTCCTCCTCCTTTTCCACCTCCTCCCCCATCTCCTACTCCTCCATCTCCCCCTCATCCCACATCTCCTCCTCTTCCCCCATCTCCTCTTTGTTTTCCTCCTCCTCCTCTCCTCCTTATCCTCCTCCTGAAAATTAAAAAAAAAAGTCCAAGAATACTAAGAAAAACAAAATTGATTTCATAACCTTTTCAGACTATAGGAATCACCAGGAAACCAGTTGGTGTAACTGCCCGCAGGCCTCACCCCTGTAGGTTCTGATGGGTTAAGTCTACAGTGAGCCTGGTAATCTGTGTTTGTAACAAGTATCCCCGTGTAATTCCAACAGTCAGGCTGGTCAGGGACTCCCTCAGCAGGGCTAACCCTCTTACTTTGCTGCTGAGGAACTGGAGCCTAGGGAGGGCAAACGTCCTACTGGAGGTCTACAGTAGGCACGGCTTACGGGGCAAGATGTCGCAGTCAGACTCAGGACGAGGACCCACACTGTGTTTGCCAGCAGTTCCAAGAAGGGCCTGTGACTGAGCAGTCAGAGACCGGCCCCCAGCAGGCAGCAAGCTAGGACTGCAACTGCACTGGACCCACCTTGCCACATGGCTTGACTTCCTGCCAGAGGCTTCAGCCCCAACTTGGGGCCCCGTTTAGCTCTACAACAAGGCAAAGCAGACAGGGTTATGTCTACCTGCTGCCCAGCGCTGGTGCTGAGTGAGGCCTGGGGTTTGTGGGGAGGAGGAGGAGGAATGAGTCACCTCCGGCCACGCACTGTCACTTGGGTCTCTGTGGGTGTGAGAGTGGGGGACAACTCTGAAGGTTTGAAATCACTTCCCCACCCCGTCCGTCAGCAGTGCCCCCGGCAGGCCTAGAAGAGTTCTCTGAGGCCCGCCAAAACAGGAGGGCCCTGGGAGACCCCGTCTTGCTGCAAGCTGGCCTGGTGGGCCCTGCTCTGCATTCGGTCACCTCTCTGCTGCTCTTCTGTACAGCCTGCGGTTTGACATTTCCTTCCTTAGCCAGTTAGAGCCCCAGAAGCCTCCAGCCTGGCTGCTAAAGATACTGGTAAGAAGAGCCACCGCAGAGAGCAGGAGGTCCTTTCAGGATCAAAGCAGCTTTGTGAGCTGGTCAGAGCCAGCCACGCTCTTTCGGATGGGCCCTTCCTCGGGGCACTGCTGAAGTGTCATCTCTGTGCCCAGGCCCACTGGTTTCCAATCGCAACGGCACCCAAGGCATGCGTTCCCGCCCCCGCCCCCACCTCCGTCGCATATATGTATACACAGCACTTACCTAGAATTTCACTTCCTGAAATGTTCATTGTGTACCTCTTTCCACTCGCGTGTAAGCTCCTTGAGATCAAGGGCCTTTGCTTTGTTCACTGAGGCATCCTGAGCTCTCGGCAGAGTTCCTGGCACTTCGAAGGCCCTGAAGGCACACTGTTGAGTGAAGGCGTGCCTTCGTGGGACGGGCTGTGGCAGCCACCACGGCCTGACTCGGCCAAGATGTGGGCACCAGCAGGGCTCCCTTGGCGGCTCTGAAGGATCCGTTCCCTCCCAGATGTCGGAGGAGGGAGGAGAGGGGCTCCCATGGGCTTCTCAAAATAATCGCTTAAAGGAAACAAAAGAAGTGTGTCACAAGTGCTCAGGTGGTGTGATCAGGAGGCCGCTGCGAAGTCCCCACTCCTGATTTAAAGCAAATCCCAGCAGTGACATTACAGGGGAGGACTAAACCTTACCCTCCTTCCTTCTCCATCCCCTTAAGTCCCCAGTGTGTTTATAGAACGTGTCCTGTCATTCTAATGAGGAAGAAGGGCTCGCCAGCATTCCCTGGGACCATGGAGAAGTGAGGGGTGAGGAGCCTGGGGGGGAGTGATGAGGGAAGCAGGGAGTAGTGGATGCTAAGGACCACCTTTGCCAACTTAGCAAGTTTGTTTTAGGCCAAAGTTGTTACCTTCACTGAAGGAATGTAGATCCTGGCTCATTGTCGGATGGGCCATGGGCTCAATGCCTCAGCTCCCGGGAAGCTTGTAGCATAGAGGAAATTAACATGAGGCCCTGGTAATTAGGGAGCCTGGCTTCTGCGGGGGGTGTGTTTTGTGGGGTTCCTGGAGTTCCCTGATCACTAACCCACCCTGTGAGCCTCTGTAGCCTCATCTATAAAATGACATTGGGTTAGATCACCTTTGAGGATCCTCCCAGCTGTCTCCAAATCTCTAGGAAGTACTGAGCTTGTGTACTAATGAGGGTTCCCTTGGTCTCAGCAGTCAGTGCTAATGAGGGCTGGAGTCTCCTGTCCTGGAGACTTGAGAGACCCCCATGGATTGGACACTGACTGCTGGGGTGTGCTTGAGGTGTCATCCTGTTCGTGAAGGCCCTCCCTGTTCTGCGGTTTGAGGATTTGCTAGCTCACAGCACCCAAGGACTAAGAGTATCTCCAAGGGTCCTGGCCAAGTTTGGCCTTGGGACATGGGTGAATCAGGGAGTCTCCCACTCTGCGGGATGTGCCCTGATTGGGAATGCTTCTCCAAATTTTATAAAAATCCATGTCACCAAGGAGGAGGCAAGGGGGGAGGGGGGATGAAAGGAGATACAGACCAAAGGACAGCTCACCAGAGCTCCTGTCAAGCTCTGCAATGAACAGCTGATTCCTCTAGGTTTCAGAGATGGTCTGAGTGTTCCTGGAAGCCTGACATCACCACAGGGATGTTAAACCAAGAGTCAGGGGACCTCAGACCCAGGAGCAGTAAGACAATAAAATACACAGTGGTTGTATCCAGGTTGTAAGGCTCCAGAATTTCAGAGAAGGGGAGCCAGGTGAGAACGGGCAGGTCTTCACAGATGGTCTTTGAGCTTCAGTGAGGAGGCTGAGCCAGCACAGAGGGCCTGCTGCGCAGGAGCAGGGACCAGGGAGGGGATGAAGGTGGGAGGAGGTGAGGAGCAGACGCCCAGTGGAGGGGACTGGCTGGAGGCCAGAGGAGGAAGCTGGTCTAGGTCGGCCCAGATGCCCAAGATTATGCAGATCAGGGAACTCCAGGACTAATGGGAAGGTTGGACTCGGGGAGAGATGATGGTTTTGTCACCTTATCTGTCTTTTATCTCGTAGGATTCTCAGTAAGTTGAGTCAAGAAATCAACAAGAATGAAGAGAGAAGGAGCATCTTCACACGCAAGTGAGTGGGGGAGCCAAGAGTCCAGTGACACTGTAACGAAACCCAAAGAATTTTCAAACCCAAGTTGAACCTTCAATGGGAGGCACAGGACTGTTTTTGCCCCAGTTTTTGACCTGCAGCACTCCTTCAGCCCCAGGGTCTTGAAGCTGGTGCCAAGGAGGGGAGGGAGAGTTCATTTTCTCTGCCCGGCATCCTACCCATGGGTCTGTGACTTCAGGGGAACTTCCCCTAGAGAGTCAGGCAGTCATGAGCTCCCAGTTATTCCACTAATGTGACTTTGATAATTTCCAGAATTTTCGGGCAGCCTGGCCCAAGGTGCTAATCAACAAGGACACCAGTCCTAGATGGTGAGATACACCCCTTACTGGGGGCTCCTCTCGCAGGGCTGGATTGAAGAAAGAGGGAGATGCCCCTAAGCCAGTAACACCATTAATGCAATGCTGTTTGCCTTTGCAGACCCCAAGTCCAGCGGTTTCCTGAAGAGACAGGTAAAGGTGTCAGGGGTGGGAGTGATTGCTTTCGGAGGTGACAGGTACTTCGATTCTTCTGTCTGCTGGTTCCTGGGGCTCCTGGGGTATTGTGCAGGTGACCTTATTCATCTGCCTGTCAGGCAGTTCTTTCCCAGAGAGAAGTTTGGGTCCAAGTTGAGAGCAGGAGAGGTGTTACTATGCCGGGCGCCTGGTTTACAGCCCCTACTTAGCTGGGAACCTCTACAGATCTGAAATGAGGAATGCTGTGGGGAAACGTGGGAGGATCCAGGCTTTGACTGAGCACCTGAGCAAAGCCAGTGCCCCTCCATCTGGGTCTTTAAATCTTTCAGTAAGTAAGCTTTAGGGATAGGTCCCCAGTGTCTGTGTATTTTAAAGCCCTCTGGGTGACTGTTCTGTGGTGAAAGGTTGGGAACCACCTCTACCTTCAGGTAGAATGAGCTGCTCAGGTGGAAATTCTAGAGCTGATACTAAACCAACCCCCAGGTATGAGAAAGGTAGGATGAAGGCCTGGGATGGACAGTGGTGTGAGAGCACATCAGATGGGGTACTGTTTTGACTTTTCTTCTAGAGGCTTCTTTTGGTACTGATGAGGGTGTGATCTTCTTCCACAGAAAGCCATGAAGAGGACAATGGGGGCTGGTCATCCTTTGTGAGTACGGTGTGGGCTCTCCTACCCTCATAGCAGTTTGCAGAGCACCTTTGTAATAAGGGACTAGCATGATGCCAGAAGGAGCAAGGCCTCCAGCAAGATGCCAGTATTACCCTCCCCTGAGTGTCATCAAATGTGTTCTCTAAAGGTCAGGCAGTGAATATTTCCAGCTTTGCCACCCACACGGCCTCTAGCTCGTCCACTCACCTCTGCTTTTACAGCACCCTAGCAGCCACGGATGACAGCTGAACAATTGTGCTTGGCCGTGTGCCAATAAACCTTTATTTACAAAGACAGATGGTGGGCCGGATTTGTCCCACGGGCTGGAGTTTGCAGATCACACCATTAGTCACTATTATCACCCCCACAGCAGGGCCTTCCCAAACTCCCTCCCCTAGATGGTATACACTGAAGTAGCTTAAAATAGATTTTCTCATAGACTTAAGTCCCCACTGGTGACAGAGGGAAAGGGAGTTCAGAATCAACTATTAGCCCTGAAAAGACCTCAGGGAAAGTCCAGTCTAATTGGGTTTTTATGTTGGAGGGGTCACAGTGACCCCTTTGAGAGTCTGATGACCTCTGGATATCCTCTCCCCAGAAGACTGCATTCACAGGCACGATGCATGAAGCTGGACTCTGGCTAAGCACTCGGTTATGGCTCGGAGCCCAGCGTGCTCATTTTACAGATGAAGCAGCTGAGCCCACTGGAGAATGGGACTTACGTACTAGTTAGAGGCAAGCCTGGGACCCAGGTGTCCCGATCCTCAGTCTAGTGGTCTTTCTGGTAAGCAGCCGCCTCAGTGCCTTTAGGAAGCAGGTAAAGCATCCCTCGTCTTAATGGGATTCTGGCAAAAGGAAGCATTGCATTTGAAAAATGCTAGCTAAGTCTGTGCTTTCTCTAAGAAGACAAAGGAATTGGACAGATTTATTTTGTACAAAAGGGAAAAGACCAGAGTTTCCCCCAAACTGTGTCCAGTTTTGCACCGAAGCTGCATCTTTACCACTGCAAAGGGCCATGTGGTGTCTCCCTGCAGGAGCCCAGCCTGAGGCTAGTGTCCTTCACCCTCTCCACGAACACAGGCTTTCCATTAGCCCCTGCCTCTAACACTCGTGGGCTCCAGTGCATGTCCAGCCCTGCACAGGGCACTAGGCGAGCAGGGATGGAGACAAGGCACCCAACCCTGTGAGCATTTTACAGCATGGGTAACACACGGCAGAATATGATTAAGAACAAATACATGCATGCAAATTTAGGAGCCAAATCATTGGGGAAGCCCATTGTTCGAGAAGTGGAGAGGAAAAGACTCTTGTTGAGAAAGGCTTCCAGGGTAAAGCCTGGTAGAAAGCAGGAGCAATGGGGCCTGGGTGTGCAGGCTGAGACAATCTAGGGATTCCTCTGTCAGTCAAGGGCAGTCAGTGGGACCACTAAGGAGACAGGTGGAGGCTACTATTCTCAAGGCCCCTGATTCAGAGGTTCCATCCCCTGCTCTCAAGTTATAGGAACACAAAAGACAGGATGAAGACTTCTTTTTTTCTTTTTATAATAAGACTATCATTATTATTCTTTTTTTTCATTTTTTTCAAATATTTCATTTATTTATTTGACACAGAGAGAGATAACAAGTAGGCAGAGTGGCAGGCAGAGGGAGAGGGAGAAGCAGGCTCCCCGCTGAGCAGGGAGCCCCATGCAGGACTCAAGCCTAGGACCCTGGGATCATGACCTGAGCCAAAGGCAGCCGCTTAACTGCCTGAGCCGCGCAGGCACCCCCAGGATGAAGTCTTTCTCAGAGTTCAGGAAGACACTCAACCTCACTTTGCCTTCCAATATTTTAAAAAAATATTCCTCAAATCAAACATGAACACAGGAATCTTTCAATTGAACAACTTAGACAGTCTTGCTTAAGTCACCTAGCAAAGCTGTGAGGATTTCTAGGCTACCGGTACTCACTTTTCCTCGCCAAGATGCAACCTCCCACGGCTTCTTTCCATACTGCCCTTGACTTTAGAGAACTGCCCTGGGCTCATTTATTGCCCACCCGACTTTGGCACGAGGGTTATAAGGTGCTCGTCCCACGTGGCTGATGGTGCCACCTCTGCTTGGGAAATCATTACTATGACTGTCCATTTTCATGAGCGGCCTCAAAGGCAGTCACTCATTCCCCAGGGCTCACTTTCCGAAAGACCCACAAAGAAGCACACATAAAATAAAACGCAACGCTTAAAATTTAGAAAGAGAGTCTCCTCCAAAAAAGCAGCTTTAAACTCAGTGTCAGATGTCATGAATAATAAGCTGTTGTTTCTCCACACTCAGCTCTCAGCAAAAAGGATCGCGTAGCCCTGACTCTCCCCTCTCCGACACAATTTAATCTGCCTTCTAATTAACAGGCTTTGGTTATCTGGTTTCCCCATTAGCATGGCCTTCCACACTGCACTAGGCTATAATGAGAAGAATGTTTTGAGCACGGGCACACCAAGAACAGAACTGACAATTAACTAGCGGCATCGCAAATGCTCCAGGCATTTAGTCTCCCTCTTGGTGATGCCTGGAATAAAAAACATGTTTACTCAAGACAGAGCTGGCTCTCCCACCCTTCTCTTCCTGTGCCCTCCTCATTTCTTCTGCTTTTCTCTCTTGTGCAAAAAGGCGTAGAAGAAAATGCACTCGCCTCGTGGCCTAAAGGCCTTGATGGAGGTTCCAAGTCCTGCGCTTTTGCACTCCCCAACCTCAGTGTCCTCATCTGTGAAATGGGAGTGACCGTCCTGCCACTGCCACCTCCCTACCCCAGGACCCTTGCGAGGCTTGGCAGGGAGAGAATCTTGGCGGGCACCAGGGTGCCACGGAGCCTCTACAAACTGGTCTGTCCCCGTCACTGTGTTGGCAGGATGAAGATGACTATGAGAGCCCTACCGACGATCAGAACGAGGATGACAATGACGACTATGAGTCACCCAACGAGGAGGAAGAGGCACCCGTGGAAGATGATGCGGATTATGAGCCGCCGCCCTCCAATGATGAGGAGGCCCTGCAGAACTCTATCCTGCCTGCCAAGCCTTTCCCCAACTCCAACTCCACGTACATCGGTAAGGCCCTGGCCGCCTGCGCCGGCCGTGCGGACCCACACGAGGCCAGTGCCCATGCAGCACCAGGGGGCCCGCTAACGCCAGCTCAGCGGCTTCCCGGCCGCGTGCCTCTGGGCAGGTGACTCCCCCTCTCTGGGCCTCAATTTCCTCATCTGTGAAATAGGATAATAAAAATGTAGACCGCAGAGCTTTGCTGGGAGGATGATAACAACTGCAGACAAATCATTGTCTGTGGTGGCTGATACCAACACTGAACTTCCACTTACGGGCATCTGGCAGTAATAACTCATTTTGTGTAGGACTTAGGGACTCAAGAGTACCTTCCTGTTTCTCCCCGTCTTCCGACCAACTCATGGTTACATGGCACTTTCACCCACACACTGCCACGGTAAACGTAACCATATTAAGGGGGTTTGACCATCACTTAAGAAAATTTAAACACTATTTAAGATTTTTACTGTCAGTCTGCTCCTATCAGCCTGTTTCTCCCTCATTCATTCATTTCTCCATTCAACAACAACGACCGGTCTCCTCTTGTGAGCCGGGCAGCATTCTGAATGCAGAAATGTGAACTCATCAGGAAAGAAGACAGAGCCCCCGCCTCGTGGGTCTTACCCGCTAGGAGTGGTGGTGACAGAAAACAGGCTTCTGCACGCTTGCACAGCTGAGTGTCACAGAATGAGCTAGAACGTTGACGATCTAGACCATGAACCAATGGATACTGCTCGTCCTTTCTGCTGTATAACACTTTTGCCATGCCAAAGCCCTTGCACAAACACTGTTTTGTGTTTTTAAGCACACTGTGTGATACAGGGAAGAAGGATCGACCCTATTTCATATACGGGGAAACGGAGGCCCCGAGACGACATGGATTATTAAGTCATTGCTTAGGTGCCAGTTCTGGAGACAGAGTGAAGACAGTCCTCACCCCCAAGATTTCATAGTCTAGTGGGTGAGGTAACCTCCAGTGCATGCAACACAGATGACTTAATTAAACCATGATCTCTGCAGGTGATAGACAAGTGCGGGTGATAAGGCTGGGGCATATGCCTCGTCTGGCCTTGCTTCCCTGAAGATACGAGATTTAAGCTGCACTTTCACAGATGACTGGGCGCTGGCCGTGGAGTGGGGCAGGGGATATGGGAAGTGAGGGTGGATATTTTCAACAGTACGAATGGCCGTGCAAAGGCTCTGAGGCTCGAGGGAGCAGAGCATGTCAGAGGCGCTGAGAGCTGGCCAGTGTGGGTGGAGTGGCATCAGATTAGACCAGGCTTGCCCAAGTTCTGAGCCACACTCTCTGTCGAAGAGCAATTCCTCTCCTAGGCTGGGACTAGGGTGAGCAACAGAGGCACCCAGGGCACAGAATATAAGGAGGTCCTCAGTCATAGTCCTGGCCTGGCCTTTCCCCCCCTCACAGGGATGGGACATGGCTAGCCTATCAACTTGGCCTAAGGATACATCAGTGGGATCAGAATACTGTGAGTTTCTGTCCAAAGCAAGTGCAAGTAACCAGTTAAGATCTGCAAATCTGAGGCTCCTTGCTGGTTCAGTCAGTGGAACCTGTGACTCTTGATCCCGGGGTTATCAATTTGAGCCTCATGGTGGGTGTACATATTACTTAAAAATAGAATCTTACCAAAAAAAAAGTCTGTGATTCGGTAACAGGAGTTGGTGACCAGCCCTTCCCTTTAAGGGAAGAGACAGCAAAAGGAGGAAGTGGGAGGGGGAGGTCAGTCCAGAGCATTTGTGAGGGGAACGAAGGGGACCTACGACCTGAGCCATGAGGGCGGAGGTTAACGCTGCCCCGGCACCTGGGTGTGTGTGTGTGTGTGTGTGTGTGTGTGTGTGTGTGTGTGTGTGAGACTCGGGCGGGCTGGCCTTGGCACTTGTGGGGGTCTGCGGGATGCGGCGCCCCCCGGAGCGCAGAGGTGCTGCTCTTCCCGGACAACACAGCCTGCCTTGGTGTGGCATTTCTGCTTTCATTTCACCACCCTACTGCTCTTGCCCTTCCGCAGACCGGCCCCCCTCCAGCAAAGTCCCTCAGCAGCCGCCCGTGCCCCCCCAGAGACCGACAGCCGGGTTCCCTCCTCCGTCGGCAGGCCGGAGTCACGCGGTAGGCCTCCCAGCTTTCTTCACTGGTGCTGTGTCCACTTTGATCCCTCCTTTGCCAGAGAGAAGACTCTACGTATCTTTACCCATTGCTGACTAGTAAGAACAGATTATATATAGGCTGGGAACATGCAAACCCAAGCACTCGCGGTGTGGGGGGTGGGGGTGGGGGTAACATACATACTAGTGCATATCATCGGCATTTTCTTTTTACCCAAAACAATTTAAACTACTTCAATAATGAAGTATTGCTGTCCCACTTTTGAAATTAATAAAAATTGTGAAATAAACCCGAGGGACCAAGGTCAGTAAGTGGCCCCTACCGCTATCGCGTGGGTCCCTAGCACCTTCTCTCGCCGCAAGACGTGCGCCACCTACTGGCCAGAGGCGGAAATTCCGCGGGCCGGTGGCTTGAGCCGCCAAGGCTTACAATGCAGAGAACCCAAGGGCAGAGAGAGAGGCAGCAAACCGCCTTTCCTCTTTCTTCAAGCTTACAGCCTCAGGTCCTGTGGGTCCAGTTAAGTACCCAGAGAGACCCCGAGAAATTCAGGCTAATATGTCAATAGCTGGAGATGTGTTTTCTTCATAAGGGATCGGAGCACTTTAACTGCAGGGTAATTGCCAAAGTGTCAGGGCTAGAAGGAGCGAGAGAATGTATTTTTCCAAAATCTCAAAATGCAGACCTCACCACAGTTGGGACCTTTCTTCTAAGCATACATGGCTTCCTCTTGCTTGTGCAGTTTTCTTGCAAAGGGGGCTCAGGGAGCTGAATTGATCTACAAAGCATTTTGCTTTGAAACCTGAAGGCTTCCACCTCCACTATTGGGGTGCAGAATTCTCTCATTCAGTCAACAGATAGTTACTAGCCGTTACTGTGTGCCAAGCAACGTTCTAGCTGCTGGGAATAGAGCACGAACAAGACAAATAAGGTCCCTTTGCTTTTATAAATTTTCAATTTTGGTTGGGGGAGGCAGATACTAAACAAGTAAGCAGATGTATGCACAAGACAATTTGAGTAGTAATGTGTGGTTAGGGAGACAGAGAACCCAGTAACTTGATGATGGGTGGGAAGGTGACATTGAGCTGGACAGAATGGGCCAGTTGTGGCAGGAGCCAGGGAAGGAACATTCTAGGCAGAGGGAAACACAAGTACCGAGATTAGAAGGAGGGCATGAGTTTAAGATCTTGCAGGAGCTGTAAGAAGACGCTTGGAGTGGGAGCCCAGTGGGCAGTGGAGAGAGGAGTCTAAGATAAGAAGGAGTTGGAAGGGTGGACACACGGCGAGTTTTTATTGTGTTCCTAATGTGATAGGGGCCACTTGAGGGCTTGGCAGGGGAGTGACGTACTCACCCCATTGCCATGCAGATAATACCTGGATTAAAGAGTGTGGGATGGGGAACTCAGGTAAGAGGTTATGGTCTAGGAGAGAAATGACAGGAAAGTGAACAGAGTCAGACAGATTTGGAGTGATAAGGCCCCAAGTGAGAACTTGTGGATGTATCCTAACGAGATGCTACCTAACATGTGGATCTTTTTTAAACAGCCACTCCCCCCACCCCAACCAAACCACGAAGAGCCTAGCAGAAGTAGAAACCATAAAACAGCAAAGCGTAAGTACGGGGGCTGCCCTCTCTCACCCACCAGCGCACCTGCTCCCTCAGCCCCAACCAAGTGCTTTCTTCTTGTAATTGATTTCAGTCTTTTTCCCTTCCAGTCCCTGCTCCTTGCATAGACAGAAGCACGAAACCTCCCCTCGATCGTTCATTAGCCCCATTTGACAGAGAGCCCTTCACACTAGGTTGGTATCTCTCTATTTGATGCCTAGTAACAATGGCCAATATTTATAGAGCGCTTACGGCATGATTTTCACACGCACCACCACAATCATAATGGTACCATGATGTGGGATTATTAGCATCATCCTCATTTCATAGATGAGGCAACTGAGGCCCAAAGAGATAACTTTCCCAAATGACTCAGCTACCCAGTGATGGGGGTAGAGACTCAACCCAAGGTCAGGCTGGCTGCAGAACTCCCGCTGTCAGCCCTGGGCTGGGCTTGCTTCTACCCGGGTGCCGTGTGTACACATATCTCATTGTCCTCCCGAAGGATGGTGCAGGAGGCAGTGCAGTGCAGAGAGAGGGCCTGGGCTGAGACAGGAGGTCTGGGACAGCTGTTGTCAGCTGCCTTGGCAGCTACTGAGCCGCTTACTGACCGCAGGGACCATATGTGTTCAGAGTTGTCTCCTTCTTTGTATGGTGTTCTGTTCTGTAAGGAGAAGATGCTTGATAAAACTCCAAGGTGCTTTTCAAATGTCAAAGTTGTTTATTGTTGCCCATGTGCAGTTGACCAAACTGTGGCTATCCTACAGTCCTTTTCCCCCAGAAGTGGCCCAGAGTGTTCTTGGAGTATGGCTACCTCTATATAAAGCTATTTTCAATTCAATTCTAAAACTTAGCGACCGTTTATTGAGCACCCACTCTGGGGCAAGTACTTTACCTACCAAAAATAATTTACCTATATTATCCTCACACCAACCCAATGAAGGGGGGTGTATCCCCCCCATTTTGCAGACAATGAAACCGAGGTTCAGAGAGGTTGAAGAACTTTTCTACATTTGCATTACTTGGTGTAGGATTTGAACCCATGTCTTTCTGACTTCAAAGCGGGTGCTCTTTTCCGCCACATCATGCTACAGTTGGAGACCCGGATTTTCCTTGCTCTGGGGTAGGGAGTTCTGGGGAAGGAGCTGGGAGCCTTGCCGGAGAAGGAGCCCCGAATCCTGACCACACCCAGCCTTCCCGACCCGCACTCTGAGCAAAGCAGTTAGGCTACTGTGGCCTCAGGTTCCTCTCTGCGTGCAAATGAATTTCAGTTCTTAGATTTGAGGCTCCTGCCTGCTGCTGTTTCCACGAACTGGACCACAGCTCTGATGACTCCTGCAAAGCTCTGTCGGCTATTTGAGTTCAGAGTGGTCTGCTGCAGAGGGCTGTTCAAATTACATGAAAATGAAGACAGAGAGATTCAAGTTCAGACCCCAGGCCTGCTTACTACCAGAAGTCAAAGCATCAAAAAAGTGGAATACTGACATCAAATCCATCAGAGTCACCTCCTGAACAAAAGTTTCCTTTTAAAAGATTCTTTTTAAAAAAAATTTTTTTTTATTTTTTAAAGATTTTATTTATTTATTTGACAGAGAGAGAGAAAGAGAGGGTGAGAGAGCACAAGCAGGGGGAGCGGCAGGCTTCCTGCCAAGCAGGAAGCCTGATGTGGGGCTCCATCCTAGGACCCTGGAATCATGACCTGAGACACCCAGATGCCCCCAAAAAACTGTTTTTAAAGGTACCCTTTCTTGACAATACCTACTCTTGATTGCTTCCTTGTCCATGATGTTTTGAGAGCACTAACCTCTTACGATGCCCAGAGAATATGCATACAACAGAAGATTTTTTTTAAAAAAAAAGAAAATCTACTTAAGCCTAAGAATATAAATCTAAGTTTTCTGGGTAACCCTGTAAAGTAGGGTTTCCATCCTAACCCAAAGTTTTATGAATAATAAACATTTCTTATACCATCAAAACTGTCTCTTACTGGGCAGTGAGCTCTTCACAGTAGGACGAGATTCTTAGGCCCTGTCAGGGGCCTGGGCTGTACATCATGTCGTGAAAATCATATCATCATTCCCCTTGGGGTGTTACCTGCACAGAGGTATGGAAGGGAGGGGAAGAAAGAGGAAGTATCAAGGAGTTGTCAGCACCCATGGAAATGTGCCTGACCCTGCATAGAAATTGTCACCTGATCCTTACAGCAAACCTGTGCATTTTTAACCTATAATCTTCATTTTACAGGTGAGGAAATTGAGACTCAAAGACCTTAAATAACTTGCTCAAGGCATATAGGATTCGCTTGTAGACCTGGTTGAAGAGTTAAGTAGTACTTTTTATTGCACTGAAAACATAGGGCATATCAATTCGAAGGGACTTCGGACAGAATCAAAAATAAATTGCTTTGAGGGGCGCCTGGTGACTCAGTCATTAAGCGTCTGCCTTCGGCTCAGGTCGTGATCCCAGGGTCCTGGGATCGAGCCCCGCATCGGGCTCCTTGCTCAGCGGGGAGCCTGCTTCTCCCTCTCCCACTCCCCCTGCTTGTGTTCCCTCTCTCACTGTGTCTCTCTCTGTCAAATAAATAAATAAATAAATAAATTGCTTTGAATAACTTTGCAATGCAGAGTTCTCAGGTACACCTAGCATTTCTTCAGGGAGCCTGCATGTCGTCCGTTCCAAGAAAAAAGTAAAAGGAAGAAAGAAACAAAACCCAACCAAAAATTAAGACAAAATGATTTGCACCCCACCAGGAGTATCTCCTAAAATGCTCTTCCCCAAATCAAAAGTTTTTCCAGAAAGTAAGTGTAATACTTTAGGTAATGTCAAATGTTCCACAGGACTGGAGGAAAATTAACCCCTCCAGGGCAAATGGGTTTATTTCAGATACAGGAATAAACTGAGGCTATCCAAAGAACTTCTTAGTCAATGAAAGAGGCGTAAAATCCCAATAAGACATTTTAATCCTTCTTATCATCAGTTACATAAAATCAAATGTTGAAAAGAAGCACAGAATTCAGAATACTGTTTGCATGTACACAACTCTGAGTGGCCTTGGGCTAGTCACTTAATTTCTCTGAGCCTGTAAAATTAGGTGCTCCCTATGGGCATCTTCCAGGTCTGAAGTCTGTGATTCTTCAATGCTCACACCCAGTCGGCCCCCTCAGGGCTCGGACTCATGGTTTCATCAGACTATGTTTGAATACCTCCTGCTTAGTGGATAAAGTATTCAAGGCCTGCCTGTTATTTGTCATTTACAGGAAAGAAGCCCCCGTTTCCTGACAAGGTAAGCTCCTTCCCTGGTTTGTTCTGTTTGTTTTTACTTTGGTTTCATTTTGTGTCTTGTCTTTATCCTTTGGAAAGTGCCGAGGACACTGACATGTCTTCCCTCCTGTCTTACAGCCCTCCGCCCCCGCGGGAAGGTAAGGTGCCCTGTCGCATCTGTGTGAGGGTACACGGTGTAGGCCGTAGAAACACGGTTCAGTTTGGTTCTCACCCCTGCTTTCTCTCAACTCTGCAGGCCTCTCGGGGAGCATTTACCCAAGATGCAAAAGCCTCCTTTACCTCCAGCCACTGAAAGACATGACAGGGGTAGCCCCCTGCCCGGGAAGAAGCCACCTGTGCCCAGGTAACTGTCTTCTGTTGCCTGAGTTTGTCACTCAGAGAGGTGACGCCAACAGCCTGCTTAGCAGTAGTCTACAAGGAACCGAAAATCATGGGTGCTCCTGGGGAGCAGTGGATGGTTTCGCTGCTGGGGCTTGAGGAATTCTGGCTCCTCGGGTTGGATGTCAAGTCCTGGGTCCCTTTGAAGACGACAGTGATCTAGCAAAGAAAGGAGTGGAGCAATGCTTCATCAGGAGGACGGGAATGGCCACTGTCTGTGGAGAACGTCTCCTCAACCAGTCGAACCCGTGCTCATGTTTTCCTTTCACCTCAATACATGGGAACAGTACCTGCCACTTCATTTTTCAAGACAGGTAGCAGAGATGACATAATTGGCAGAGGTTTTTAGGTCACCGTAAGGTCTTCCTCACTCTGCAGCCACATTTTATAATGGCAGAATTGCTCTACTATTTCTAAATTTACTGTGAAGTCTTTTGGGGCCTATGTACCAAAGGCATAAATGTATCTGGGGTCAGGCTCCACTTTACTCCTTACGAAGGACATAACCAAGGCTTCTGTTTTTCTCATCAGCATCATCAGGCTTCATAGCTCTGGCTGTTGGATTGAACCAGGGCCATGGCTAGAGGGCACCAGAAAAAACCCCTCAGTAATCAAGATATTTGAATGGATTTTTTTGATGGAATCTTTTTAGAAATCAAATTGAATGTAAAAAGTATATAATGAACAAAATATCAAAATTTTAAATAAACCACAAGGATGATGCTGCGTGAAGCCCCTGACAGATAGGAGGCATTCAATACATTCCTTCTCTCGTCCCCCTGTCCAAGGAGAATGTGACGTGGGCCCAGACACACAGCTGCCTGCCATGGCCCAAAGGCAGCTGTCGCCAAATCTGTCTGACTAGCTCGTGCGTCTGGGAAAAGCCCCAGAGCAGTAGCATTTTCCAACTGTCTTCCCTTCACCCGAAGGGTGAGCCCCGAAATGGCTGTTTTAAGACATCAGCAAAGGAGAATATTACCTAAAATATTTCCATTTGCTTGGAGAAACATCTACTCAGTGAAATTTAATAGCTACTAAAGAGTTAGTTTGCTGACTAAACCTTTTTTATATGTATGTAATTATTTGCTGCAGTAGCTAAAAGAATAAAGGTTTGCCTAGCTCAGCTTGTAATGGTGACAGAACACTGAGTCACCAAACCTTCCCTCCACTCCTGCTCCCCGGCTTTTCTGCTATTTTTTTTTTTTCCCATTTTATCACAGTTCAGTGGGTTTGATTTCTCATTATTAGAGTAAGTGAAACTATCTATATTCTGAGGCTGGCTCATTGGAACTCTTCATGTTCAGTTCTTCTTTTAATTCATTTCAGGCACGGATGGGGACCAGACAGAAGAGAGAATGTAAGTACAAAATCCCATTTGGTAGATGCTTCGCACAGGGAAAATCAGTGCAGGCTCTGCGGAGCTTGGGGCCATGCCTTTCTCAGACTTCATTGAGGCCCAGAGCACGGAGCAAGGCCTGCATGCAGTCGGCTCCTAAATACTGGTGCCTGTGAGGGCCTCCATCTTTTCCTCCTGCCCGCAGTGCTGGCAGGTGGCCAGCTGCATCACAGCCCCATTCCCAGGTGGTAATTCGTAAGGTAAATAACTGTGGTTGGAGGGAAGGATAAAAGGAGGGATGCCCAGGAGTCTGGGCCTCGAAGCAAAGTTTACAAGGCCTCTGTTTTCCCTTTTAGTAAGTCCATGGCCTGAATAAGAGAGGGAATAGCAATTATTGAATGCCTGCTGTGTGCATGTTGACAAGCTAGCGACTTTTGGATAATGAGCCCTTTGCCTGGGAAACAGCAATGAAAGTTTTATGTCCAGTTCTAGCAATGAAAATCTTATGTCCCAGAAGCCCCATCAGTTTCAGGCAAACTGGGACCAGGATAGTTGATCACCCCAGCTTTACACGTTTTGCCTTTAATGACCCTATGAAGAATCATTGTTTCTCTTTTACTAAGAGGAAATCAAAGCTCACAAGGGGTAAGATACTTGTCACAAGTTGCACAGCTATGATTAGCCAGGATTGGAATCCAAGTCTGGGTGCTTTCCTCTACACCATAAGCCCTCCGAAGGTGATCACACCCCTACCACTATGCAAGGGCTCAGCCCACAGGTGCCTGCTGTCTCGTAGCTCTGTGCTAGATGCTAGGATGGTTCAGACACTGTCCTAGGATATGAAAGACAGGCAGGCCCACACCCAGCATGCTAAACAGTAAGTGATCATGGAATGAGCTCTAGTGGTGGAGGCAAGAAAGTAATTGATGGGGCTTGAGGAGCCAGGGGTGACTTCTTAGAGGTGAGATTTATGATGTCGTTGAGTGATGGGGAGGGCATAGAATAGAGTCATCCTAAGAGAAAGTCCAGTTGCATTCCAGCCTCAGGAATGTCCTGAGCAAAGGCAGGTGGATGACAATGCCTATTCACCCTATGGGGACTGCAAGGACAGCAGCTTGGCTGCAGAGCCATAGGGAGAAAGAGGAGACAAGGTTGAAAGTGAGAGTAACATTATACTCTCAAGGTTCCCAATCTCTGGAAGGGATGATGCTCATGTCATGAGAATCTGAGAGTTGTAGAAAGAAACATGACATGGTTGCAATGGTGTTGAAGAGAGATTTCATCGTGGGCATTCACTGAGCCCATGTGGGTTTATTCACTGAGCCTATGTGTAGCACTTTGCTGGGACTCCCAGTTGGCCAACTGGGATGAATGATTCTGGCTATAACTCTTCTTATCTCAATGGTAGGACTAATGACAGCTAACTTTCACTGAGCACTCCACATATACCAGGCACATGTAATAACCAATGCAATCCTTGCAACAATACTTTGAATAAGGTGGTCTTTCTTCACCAGTGTGCTGGTCTATCAAGTCCAAGTTGGCACTTTCGGCCTGCTGGTCAATGGCAAAATCATTTTGCCTCTTGGAACATCATTTCTCATCTGAGGAGTACAGCAAATAGCTCTTCCCTTGCCTATTTCACAGGTTGCCTGAAGATAAATGCTGAGCAATGTAGACACCTTGTAAGCCACATGGTACATAAATAAAGTGGAGTTGCTTTTAAGGGGCGTGGCAGAAAGAAGGCTTAGCCTTGGGCCAGACAAATTAGGGGCCAAATCCATTTCTGTAACCCTTGGCAAGTTAGGACTCCTTCCTGAGCGCCATGTTTCCATTTGTAAAATGAGGATGTTGAATTTTTAAAGGGTTGCTAGGAGAATTGGATGAGACACTGTGTATAAATCTTTGGGGGCACATAGTAGATACTGCCATTATTATTGTGTTTTTCGGCCCTTTTGGGCACCTCAGAACCTATTCTGAGAGTCTCAGATTGGAGTGTCCTTAGCTGATTGTTTGTATTAAGAAATTATGAACCACTTAGCAAGTTTTACTGTTCTCCACAATATATTTGTTATGGAGACACACAACTGCTAAAGAAAGAGAGACATTTATATGATTGAGAAATGCAGTTCTTTTAGGAATTGTGTTTTGATGATAGGCTAATACCTTTTTTTTTCTTCCTCTTACCAGGATGAAGATGATGGTATGTTCAGAAAAAGCTTTCTTACAACTTATAACTCATTCCTTCCTTTTTCTGCTCAGGCGTTCACGTGGAATTATTTAGCACAGGAACCCCATAGAATCAATTATAATTGTTAAATTAGTATTAAGTAGACATAGAGCAGTTGGTATACTGCATTATTTATCTGGGTTACCAAAGAGAACTGTTATGTTCATAAGTAATGGTGCAAATAACTTAATAGTACAGCAAAATTAAAAATTGCATATATGGTTTGTTAGAAAAATTTCTAATATTTATGCCTTCTAATACAGGAAAGGATCACTAACTGTAGATAGATGAGACAGCATAAAATTTGGCTTACATAAAGCAAAACTTGTGAATCATTTCTGAAATTCATATGGTTTCCAACTGACAATTTTCTGCCGAGATAGCATTTCAAAAATGAAAAAATAGGATAAATGTATATTATAGAGAATATAGAACGGCAGCATTTTAATGCACTCTAAGGTGGCAAATCATCTAGAAAAACCTTGGGGGTGGGGTTCCATCCTACCACTTCATAATTACATTTGGTCTTTTGACCAGCTGTTTCTAACTTACGGGGGAGTGGTTCTGGAAGGTTCCTGGGACACTTGGTTCCTGACGATCTGTTTTATTTTTCCTTTCCCCCACAGTGCATCAAAGACCTTTGCCTCAACCCACAATGCCCTCCATGAGCTCCAATACTTTCCCTTCCAGATCCACCAAGCCATTGCCCAAGCACCTCCTCCCGTCACCTCACATGCTTGGAGCATTCTCTGAAAGGTCTGTGGTAACGTCATTCAGTGCTAACTTAACATCACACCCAGGTCCATTCATAAGAACTAATGTTCGGTGGTTTGGGGAAGAAAGAAATGAGCCAGTGGTAGTCAGGTCGGAATATTTTGGGTTTTCAGAAACAAAATCAAGCTGAGCATAAACCACCACACGTGTTAATCCACTGCTATTCTTGGAGTCTCTGTGCTTGGGGCTGGAGGGGTACAGAATTGACTACCCCATGGTCACCCGGACAGAATGGATCCTTGGGCAGTAATGGGGAATGCTTTCACTTTGTGAATTAAAACGAGCACTCAAGAAACCCAATTAATTTAAGTACTTGGAGTTCATCCAGATCTTGGATGGGAGGACCTAGCAGATGCTACAAATTCACTGCATAGGCTCTGTCCCTAGTAGGCCCACTTTCTCAACAGCAACAGCGTTTCTCAGGGCCCACAGTGAGGCTGCCCAGAGGCAGAGGCAGGAACAGGAGAAAGATGCAGGCCATTTCTACCTAAACAAGCCCGGGAGCTGCTCCCTCGTGTCCTCAGAACCCCCAGCCCTTTGAGTTCATTCTCTACAATGCAAAGAGAGAGGCCCAGTCCCCACCTTCAATACGGGAGAAAACCACCAGCACGACCTCACTACGCCTGCTAGATATCTAGGTGTCTCAAATTTTTTTCATTGTCCCTGGGTGCCTCTTGCTTTGATATTCTGCTTTTTCTTCTCACTCTTCTAGCTGTTTTTCTTCTGCCATTTTCTCATTCTACTCCATCCCTCACTGGGCCCCAACTCTGTCCTTCCTTTGTGCTGAAGACCAACCACTCCGTGCCATTGCTGAGCAGAGCAGACTGACGGGGTTGGGCTAGCGGGTGGGGGAATGGCTGCTCAGCACAGAGCCGGCAGCATTTTGGGGCCCCCTCCAGTGCCTCCTCCCACGCACATCCCCGAAGATACTGTTTTTGTTTGCTGCAGGGCCACCTGGCCCTCTCTGGGTTTTTCACCCAGCCACCTCCCCGCTTGTGGACCATCAGGCCCCAGGATTCACTGTTCCCAAACTACATGCCCACTCATATATATTCCTAACCAAAAGAGATGTCCTCTCCCCAGAGGACGTCTGCCATTCTCCAAACTCAAAGGTCTTAAACTGCAGCCAACTCTTAAAATGACCCTCCAATGCTTTTTATGGATTTTTGTTGTTTCGGCTTTCAGAGTCTGTTAGCATTTGGGATAGTCCACCTTGGGGCAGTAGTGAGATGTGCCCCATCAGCCCCTCCTCTTTGTCCAGCTGCCACGGCTTCAGGGACGGGCGGTAGTAGTCACAAACGAAGCAGCATTTTCAGTGGGTTTCCCTAACGCAGCTTCCGCATCAGCCTCTTCAGCCCAACCCAACACCAATCAGTTCTTTTTCTGTCTCCACAGTAACAGTGGTTTCCCACAGAGTGCCTCCCTGCCTCCATACTTCTCTCAAGGTTTGTACTCTGGGCTCTAGTGACCTACTCCAGGCAACAGGCCTCCATGACTGGATTCCTAACCGTCCCAAAGCCTTTTGGCAAAGGTTTGGTTATTTCCTAAAAGCCAGAAGATATGTTTTCTCATTCAGTATGTAGTTCAGTTTCTGCTGTGTGCCAGGGCTATTGGAATGCTAGGATGCTACTACATAACACGCACACACACACACACACACGCACACGGCCTCAGAAAGGTGGCCTTGGCCTTAGTCTCGACACAGAGAGCTTTTCCTCTCTGCTGTTTTTATATGGTGCTCAGGATAGTGCTTGGTGTTCTCGGTAGTTTTAGGTTTCTGTAATGAATTTATCCTTGAGTTGCAAGTTGAGGAACATGGTTAAAATACAAACTAAGAGAACTCAGGCCCCTAAGATTCTGATTCAGTAAGTCTGGATGAGGACCTGCATTTTTAATACCTTCTCCGGGTGTCCATGATAAGTATTTGCCGAGAGTGTTCTCAAACTTGAATATGAATACAGATCGCCTGGAAATTGTGTTAAAATTCTAATTCAGTGGGTCTGGGGTGGGATGTGAGAGTCTGCATTTCTAGCAAGTTCTCGTGTGATGCTGATACTGCTGGTCCATGGACCACTTTGAGTAGCAGCAAAGGCCTACAAGGTAGAACTAGACTGTTTATTTTTCAGCCTTAGAGACTTGCAAGTGATTGACATGTGGTAGGCAGTTTTTAAAATGTTTGTTGAATGACTGAGTGTTGAATGACTGTGGAAAGTTACCCAACTCTAGCAAATAGATTTTTCTTATGCCAGGAAACCGACCTAGTGTTGCCAGATTTTCTGATTTTTTTCCATGAAAAACTGGAAATATGGCTTTTAACATGAAATTACCTGATTTTTATTTTATTTTTTAAAGATTTTATTTATTTGAGATAGAGAGAGTATAAGCAGGGGGAGCAGCAGGGGCAGAGGCAGAGTCAGGCTCCCCACTGAGCAGGGAGTCAGACACTAGGCTCAGTCCCAGGACCCTGAGATCATGACCTGAGCTAAAGGCAGATGCTTAACCGACAGCCACCCAGGCGCCCCCAAATCACCTGATTTTTAAACGTTGACTTAAAATTTTTATTTAATTATTTATTTATTTGACAGAGAGCGACACAGCGAGAGAGGGAACACAAGCAGGGGGAGTGGGAGAGGGAGAAGCAGGCTTCCCGCGGAGCAGGGAGCCCGATATGGGGTTCGATCCCAGGCCCTGGGATCATGACCCGAGCCCGATGTGGGGCTCGATCCCAGGACCCTGGGATCATGACCTGAGCCGAAGGCAGACGCTTAACGACTGAGCCACCCAGGCGACCTGATTTAAAAATTTTTAAATTGCTGTGAGGACCAAAACACTTTCGTTTTGGTCATGAACACACGCAAGAACACAAGTGTGTGTTATAAACAGAAAAGTACCTTAGTACTTGAATTATGGCTCAAGGGTCAATATTTTTTTTTTTTTTTGAGCACATCCATTACATTCAGTTGAATACATTATCCCACAAACATGTGAGACACCAATGAAATCCATTATGTTGTCAATGTTTCCTAAGCATTTGAGGGTATAATGAATACTATATGGTTTCCACAGTTGCCCCCACGCCCCCTTGATTTTCCACAGTGTCCACAAGTCACTGTGTTTTGTGAACCCACATTGTGTTACTTGCCTGGCTTCTGCGGGCATCTAAGCTTCAGACACTTCACGTATAGCAATGTTTCCCAAAGTAAGTTCCACAGACCCCTAGTTTCATGGGTTGGTGGTGGTGATTATTAATGTAAATAGTTGGTTAATTTGGGGGGCAATGCTTAATCAAAATTGATCCTTTTCCCCCTAAGACTGCCAGGACACCTGGTCCTCAGTCTTCTCCTTTGGCTGCTCCCATGTTAGGAAGATAAAGGATATTCTGTACATTGTCCAAAAAAACCCACCCCAGCTCCCTTGAGGATCTCAATAGTAAGGGTGGTGTGTCTGTTAAGAATATGATTTCATGGTGCTGGCCTGCAGATGCAGAAGCAGAAAAATAATTCCTCAACTCTAAAGGAGCTATGCAATATAGGCCTTGTTTATATTCGTTAACTATATAGTTAACTATATAGTTTCTTTCATTCAATACACAGTATAAAGTGCCTGCCACGTTGGACTGCAAAGGTAGGAGTAGGGAAAACCTGTTTAGGCTTTGGGAGCCTTAAGAAGACATCTCAACAGTTCAGGGCAGTCTGATCTGCTTATTTTGAAGCAGGGAACACCATGGTGAAGAATTCTGCTAGCCTGGCCCCGGGGACCTCAGCCCTTCCCGGGTAATTCTCCTGGCTCAGTGGCCTGGATCAGCAGTTTGCCATTTGGGGCCTATTGTTGATGGAGGAACAACCCTCCTTCGGGAACCACCTGGAGTGCTTGTTAAATGCAGATTGGGTGATTCAAATCCCCCTCCCCCACCCCAGGGGCTCTTAACTTATGTAGAATAATGTTTGGGAAATCACAGGTTCAGGTCCTGGCCCTGCCACTAAAAGCACGGGATTTGTTCAGGCTCTCGGAGCCTCTGTTCCCTCATTCTCAAAAGAAGATAATACACATCTTGCGGTGTTGCTGTGAGGTTTAAAGGTAGGGTACAGGGGTGCCTCACTTAAGGCCTGGGCAGAGTCATGCTGAATAAGTATGTGTTGAACAATGAGTGAATGACACATGACTAATTCAGAGAACATTCAGCTCACAGAATTTTTCAGTTCTTAACAGCTGTTCTGGCATACAGAAAACAGCCTTGGCGATTACAAATCAACACAAACCTTTGCTGAGATTAGGAAACACATTCTCAGACGCAGAAAGTTTCAGGGAAGCGTAAACAAGACAATAAGGTGTTAGGGAAGGTGAGACACGAATGCTGGGTAACTTACAGGCACCTCACAGACTTCCTGATTGATCGGGTAGTTGGTAGGGTCTTCTGTGAGAGATGAACACTTCTACCTCTTTAGGAAACTCAGTTAGGAGCAGTAGGTAGCGAACTCTGGTTCTAGAGGCTAACAATATTCTCAAGCTAATTTCACCTTGTCTTGGGTAACTTACATTTCTTATTGTGTAAACAAATGAGGACCTAATTCTCTTTATTACTGCACTGTCACCATATCAGTGGTTGGGAGTCCATTCTGGGTGTGCTGGAGCCAATGAAAAAATCAGTCTCTTGAATATTCTTTTTGATGATCACATTAAAACTACTGTGACTTTTTCATTAGTGGACTAGTTATTTTATAGTATGTGACATGCACATTTAAGAAATCACTCAAATTTGTGCAACTCTCCTCAAAATTTCACTGACATGGCTATCGAATGATGCCTGAAGAGTCAACAGCCCTTATAGTTTTGAACAGGTGAAAATTATTTTTGAAGCTATGGCTTCTTAAAATGTTAATTGTTGGGAACAATTGCAAGGGCATTTTAGGGGGAAAATGTGTGATGACAGAAATGAAAAGTAGCTTACAGCAAGTTAACTTTCAAAATGCTATACTTTTGAAGGCCTTAGCAACAGACCACCTCCTAGAGCTGAAGGAAGAAACTTCTCCTTGCCAGTTCCGAACAAACCTCGATCACTGTCTCCTGGGGAAGAAGAGGTAATTAAGCATATGTTTTAATTTTCTTTTTTTCCTAGCAAATAACCAGAATCTCCCATTTGATACTCTTTTGTATTTTTATTATTATTTTAAATTACCCTTAAATTTTTTTTAGTGAATTAAAGGGGAGGATCCAGATGAAAAATAGGTTCTTTTTCCTTGGTGTTTTTTCAGACTCTTCCAATAGCAAATGTGTGTTTTGTATTTAACAAAGAGAAAAATAATCCTATTTTTCATTGGTTTTCTAGCTTATGACCTTGAATAAGTCACTGAACTGCTCATTAACCCAGATTTTTCATTGTGTATTATACTAAACTGAGGAAATTATTACATCTCTCTCTTTCCTGATTAAAGCTTCCATTATATATGCAATGTTTATTCACAACTACCTTTGCAACCAGTGTCATGATAAAAAGCAGTTCATGCAAAATATCTTCTATTTAGCCCCACCTAAGTGATTCCATTTTCAAATTAAGAAAACAAATGTTTCAAAGGTCATGGAATTGAGGTGGTGATTTATGAAAATGATTACTTGGAGGCTTTTCTTTTCACTTACATATGTAACTGCAAAATTTATTCCATTTTGAAAAAATTTACATTTTCAGAATTCATTAAATGAAGAATGGTATGTTTCTTACATTACCCGACCAGAGGCAGAAGCTGCTCTTAGGAAGATAAACCAGGTACTGTGCTAAAGTTTATTTTTAAGTAGTTATAAATATTAATGGAAGGAGAAAAGGGGAACTGGCTTTTATTGAGGACCAATTATGGGCTAGGAATTCTGCTAGGTGATATTCATGCCGTTAGGCCAAGGGGACCCATTAGTGACAGCTTTACACTTACCAGCATCCTATTCCTAGAATCTGGGAAAAATCTAAGTTAAGGCAGTCATTCGACTGGCAGAATCTGAGGAGATTTTATTAACGGACAAGGTCTATCTTGTCATAGGAAGCATACCTTATCAAAAGGAGACTCTTTCCCCAAAATTCTCACATCTTACTGGTTCCATCTTCATTTTTAATACACAATTGGCCATTCACACTGATGTGAAGGGATCCCTATGGAGAGAGGCAACAAAAACTTTTTGCCCTTTCCCCTAGAAATTTCTAGTTTAACCAGATCTCCTGTGGTTTGGTGCTGAACCTTAACCTCAAATCTATATATCTGAGAAAGAAAAGCAAAGATCCTTCATCTCTCACATCTTGAGTCTACAAGAATAGTTCTCAATCTTAGCTGCACATTTAAATCACCTGGGGAGCTTTAAAAATTCTGATTCCTGGGTTTCACCTGGAGAGATTCTGATTTAGTGAGTTAGGTGTTCTCTGTGGGTTCTGGGAGTCTTCAAAACTCTAAATTCTAAATTCTAGGCTGTGAATCACTGGTCCACAGGTATATCTGTTGAATAGAAGAGGTTCTGAATGGAATTTACTCAGTAGAAATAAAAAGAACAAAGGAAAGCCATTATTGCAGATTGCAGATTGATGGCTATTTAAAGCCATCTTGATTCAATACACAAACAAGGGAGTATTTTAAAGCTGCCTTACTAATTAATTCTATTTTTATTTTAGATTTTTACAGTGTTAATATTAGGTAGCAATAATTTATGGAATGACATTTTAAAGTACAGGATAAATCACAACACTATTTTAATAAATAGAAAAAAAAGTGGTAACACAAGATGGTCCACATTTGTTGATGGTCAGGTGTTTAATGATGAACATGTGGAGATCACGAGGTTTTTAAATGGGTGCATTTTATAGGTATTTGCATGTTTTATGACTTTGGCTATGGAAAGAAAGGGTTAAGGAATTAGCTCCCAGGAGTAGGAAGACAGATCGTTAGTTAAACCAATAAAGTCCTTTATTTTGTCTGGCCCTTTATCCACTCAACCACTTAGTATTTATTTTATTACTGAAAAAAGGGAATTCTTTTTCATCAAGAGACTTCGATTTGGAAATTTCTCTGACACAATCTTTGCTACCTCTTGACAACCAAGGAATCCGTGACACAGGGGACTGTAACCGTTCACGGAACTAAACGTTCACTGACTTGTCAACTGGTTAAGTTTCCAGATCTCTAGAGGCTTGTCTACTGCTCTTACAGGCAAGAGAAGTAGTGACATTTACTGGGGTACCTGGGTGGCTCAGTCAGTTAAACATCCGAATCTTGATTTTGGCTCAGGTCATGATCTCAGGGTCCTGGGATCGAGCCCCGAGTTGGGCTCCCTGCTCAGCAGTGAGTCTGCTTGAGGATTCTCTCTGCCTCTCCCTCTGCCCCTCTCTCCACTCATGCCCTCGTGCTCTCTCTCTAAAATAAACAGTTAGGTTAAAAAAAAAAGAAGTATGGACATTTGCTGCTCACATAATAACAGGAATTTATTCTTTTAGGATGGCACTTTCCTGGTTAGAGACAGCTCTAAAAAAACAATAGCAAATCCATATGTCCTCATGGTGTTGTACAAAGATAAAGTTTACAACATCCAGATCCGTTATCAAGAGGAAAGCCAAGTTTACTTGTTGGGAACTGGACTCCGAGGGAAAGAGGTAAGGAATTCCAGTTGCAAAATTTCCCCAAATCCTCTGTTTATGCCTTTCCGCATACCTGCCAATATGAAACCTTGCTGTAACGTTCTTTGGGAAGGTCCATACTATATGGCAACATTTGAGTTAAATCACATTAGTGAAGCCCTTCCTTTACTGGAAGGAAATAAATAACAGTAGCTATCTGTGCCATAGAGTCTTTCTTATATCTTTTATTCCAAATAGTCTAAAATCACATGTATACCTTTTAAAATAAAAAAATTAAGACTTAAATTAAAAAATATATAGTTAGATGGTGTCAAAGGGAAGTCCCTTCTATCATTCACCTCTGTAACATAATTTTAATGTAAGATGGCAGTGTATTTATGAGGCTATATTTTAAAATTGATATCTGGAAAAGGGTAAAAAAAAATAGAATTCTTGTTGTGGAGATTATTTAAATATTTGGGTCATTTCTCACTTAAAATGGAGGCTTGGCCAATGAAGGTGGCCAAACTGCCAAAGAAATTTTCCTCTGTTTGGCCAATGTTTACGCTAATTCCTTTTTGGATGGTAATCAAAAACACTGCTTTTGCAAAGGAAACTAAAAGCTAAACTTAAGCCCCAAACATGTTCTTTAAGTTCAAAGTTCCAGGAGGAGGATCAGCTGAATCAAACATTTCCAGAATGAAAAACAGCTAACCCTTAACTTCCACTTCACTCCACATATTTTTAAGTTATAATCATGTAAATGAGTAGGGAAAAACACATGCTTCGGATCAAATGTTTCAAACACTGGTTCAGTGTGGCAAGAGCTGCATAGATGCTAGAGGGGCGATGAGGTCTGCCCTCCAGAATTTCTGTTGGTCTGGTGGGAAACCGTAAGTACAAACCACACGTTGCAGCGTCCTGGAGGGAGGCATCCAGCCCAGTAGTCTCGGAGGAAGTGCATAATGCTGTCTGCGGTACCTGTGTGATTCTGACCTATGTCTAGAAGGATGGATGGGTTTTTTTCCAGTCTGGCCATCAGGGATAAGGTGATGAAGGCAATGGGTGCAAAGACTTTGCTGCAGAGCCTTTGCGAGCGTGAGGTGGCAGTGAGGACACAGCAGAGAGATCATGAAGGAACCATTCATTCTGCCATGCCATGGATATCAGCTCCAGACATTGGGACACTGTCTGACCTCCTGATTCCTTACACCTCCTCACACTATTAGTCACTACTAAGAGTGAAGTAGAGATACAGAAACCAAAATCAAAGACCCAAACAGAGCAATTCTAAGGCAAAGGCATTATAATTAGACCTCTTATTTATGACCCCCATAAAGTTAAAATTTATATATATATATAACATAAATATAAATATATATAGTCTTTTATCCATAATTTGTTGGATGTTAAAGAATTATTTTTTCAAAGTTCTATAGCAGAAATTATTAAAATATTTGCCAAGTATTACATTTTTTTTTCTCACCATCCTCATGACTTGAAGAGGTAGGAAATTAGGCAGATAAAAAAAAAAAAACTGAGGGTGAAATTCATGCTACTCAATGTTGATTTATCTCCTTATTTTGAATTTTTCAGGACTTCTTGTCTGTGTCAGATATTATTGACTATTTCAGGAAAATGCCACTTCTGCTCATTGATGGGAAGAACCGAGGCTCCAGATATCAGTGCACGTTAACGCATTCTGCAGGTTATCCCTAGCAAGTTAGCCAAACAAATGAACCTTCCTCCTGCCTCTGTTGCCAGCCTGGGAAGATCAGTCAACCGTGGTGAATGGACAAACACTTAGAACTGAATCAAACTCCTCAACATGAGCACAAGGTTTTGACCTTTCGCATAAAAAAGTGTTTGAAATGAAGACTGTCAAGTATCTCATAATTTATTTATTCTTCTTCAATGTTTGTAAAGTGCATGAGTTAATACTGTGCACACTTGAAGTCTAGTAGTGCACTGTAATAATTCATTTAAAAAAATGTGTACTTTGGAATACCCATTTCAAAGTACAGTAGTTTATATAGTTACAGAAATAATTTGAGGCAAATTTAAAAACACTGAAACAGTAGTAGTTTTTGATATCACATAAAACTGATTTTTTTTAATAGCCAAACCTTTGTTAGTCAGAGGCAATCCTCAGTTTTATACATATAATTTGAAAATTTCTAAAAGTCACTTTCTCAGCAGCAATAATTTAAGAGGCTTCAAACTATTTCATCCTTTCTTATTTGGTGTTTTTTGCTGGGGGGATTTTTGTGTACTTTTTTATGAAAAGATATATGCATGATGGGATAACTTCCTAGGATTAAAATTAATTTCCCTTTTGCTTTACTTTTGTGTTCCTAAAACTATTGACTTTGTTTAGTCCATACTATTATATTTTTGTTTTAAAGCAAATTTAAGCTACAAATACCGAAAGTAATCATTTTAAATTTAGAGACGAGGCTTTGGTGTCAAATACGTCTGGATATAAGTGCATCATATCCCAACACCCACATCCCACCTCCTCTGCAATTCCCACAACTCCAAAAGCATTTTCAAGTGATGTGGATTTTACCAAAGTCTTCCAGCAAAGATGAAAGAGCATTGCATATACACAGAAAAATGTGATCAGACTTGCCTATTAGATGCCTTCCTTCCATCTCTTTTATCCCCTGACAACTCTACCATAAAGCCCTTCTCATCATCATTCCTAAAAAGGCTTGATAGATCCTTTGAAGCAACGCAGCTCTTTCCTTCAGCTTACTTATCTCACTTAACAGACAGTAGTAGGTATTCAGCACAACAAAAACCAGGCATTTGGTTGTTCTTCAAGTTTTCCCCTTGGGGGCCTTGGTTATTATTCCACAACTTTCATTAACGACAAAAATTTTCGGCTTCTCTACTTAATCTGCAAGTTTTCTGAGGGGCAAAGAAAAATATCTTGCCTCTTCATTTTCATAAGTTAATTAATAGAACATCAGAAGGGAGCTTAGACGTCACCTGGTTAAAACTGATAATTTGCTAAGATAACAGGTATGTGGAGACTTTTAACCAATGATGATGATAATGTTTCATCAAGCTTCATCCTTACAAACTGGGAGTTCTCAATTTAGGGTCCAGAGCTAGGGAGTTCTAAAGCTGAAAAATCTTCATTCATTTCCATGTTTATTCAACAGGATTTCAACAAGCATTTAATTAGTGCCTATTCTGTGTTAAACACTGAGTTGGGTGGTGAGGATAGCAGACACTGTGAGCTGATCTTGTGTCTTGCTTTAGGGCCTACTGTCCTTTATGTTTGAAAATCTCTGAAATGAAAGAGGTCATAGATTTCAAAGCAACTATTTGGTAGTGAATCATGTCCGCTGCCATGTCTCTACCCTCTTCTACCTGCCATATGTAGGAAACCAGTCTAACAGAAGAGGATAAAGTCAATGCACAGAAATAGAACCAGGTTATAAACAGATGATAAATTAGTAGAGTCCCTGACATCTATTTCAACCGCTTCCAAGTCACATGACCCAATAAATGCTTCAGCTAACTTGAGTTGTTTTTGGCACTTGTTACCAGGAGAGATCTGATTAATACAAATTCATACCATCCACTTCTAATTTGGTGAACTCTCTTTCAATCTGAGCCAAATTCAAGCATAAAGTAAAGGATAAGCAATGTCCCAAGGCCAATTTCCTATATCATATTCTTGCCACTAGTGAAATGAATTAGCCATTCTTCGAAACATTAAAACAATAAAACAGCCTTCAAGAATATTAAATAATTATTTACAACTCATATTTTTATTTTGTTTTTTATCATATTAAATATATTAGTAGACTCAATTCTCCCAGATACATGTTAATTCTACAATAAATACAGTTACAAATTCACAACAAACAAAAAGAAATCAGATAGAAAAACTGGTAGAAGCAAAGGATACATCTGATATTTTAGATTCTTCAAAGAGGGGGGTTTTCCCTTCTGGTTCCTGTAAGTCATCTGTCTTCACAGGATGATTAAAATGTAAAGTAAGGTCGCAAAGCAGCAACTGGGAGAGCTCTGTGTAAAACAAAATAATAGAAGATACTGTCCTGGAGCACATATGTCATAGACAACTATTATTACCTTTTTTTTTTTTAAAGATTTTATTTTGGGTGGGTGCCTGGGTGGCTCTCAGTTGAGTGTCTGACTCCTGATTTCAGCTCAAGATCTCAGGGTCCTGAGATGGAGGCCCGTGTCAGGCTCTGGTTTCAGCTCGGAGTCTGCTTGAGATTCTCTCTCTCCCTCTCCCTCTTCCCCTTGCCCCCCTCGAACTCTCTCTCTCTCTAAAATAAAATCTTTGAAAAAAAAAAGATTTTATTTTTACATAATCTCTATACTCAGTGTGGGCCTCGAACCCACAACCCTGAGTTCAAGAATTGCAAGAATTCCTGTTCTGTATTTTCCTCCTAAGAAAAAGGTAATTTCTTTATAAGCCTCAGCACTTATAAACAACCAACCAAGCCAGCCAGGTGTCCCTATTATTACTTTTAGTAGCTATTTCTAATTCTTAGTTTTCTCCTAAGTGATTATTGATCAGACCACAATTAAGTGTGCCCCATTTTGACTTAAAGTCAAATTTATATACTATAAAATAAGCATGGCATAAAAATTAACTAGAAGGCTCCACTACCTTACTGAACTGCAACTTGATTTATACAAATTTGATTTATGCTTTTTGTAAAGTTACTATTTTTGTGTTATATGTTATGTATAGAGAATCAAACAGGTCTATAAAGCATGTTACAAATATTAGCAGTTCCTATCTCCAAGAGGCAACCACTTTTAACTTTTTTTTCTTGCTCATATTGTTTTTGTTGCTTTTGTTGTTTTGTATGTGTCTGTGTTTGGTGTCTTTTGGTTTTGTTTGGGGGGCAGGTATTTACCTCCATATCTCTAAATGACATTCATATTTTATTTTTTCAACTGTAGGTATTATCTATGTGCTTCTGACTACAGAAGATTATGATACAGTTCTTTTCACTCACCCCCCACTCCCCCAGAGTGTACTTAAGAGTACAATATTTTTTTATTTTTATTTTTTTTAAAGATTTTATTTGTTTATTTGACAGAGAGAGAGAGCGAAAGCAGGAACACAAGCAGGGGGAGTGGGAGAGGGAGAAGCAGGCTTCCCACCGAGCAGGGAACCCGAGGTGGGGTTCGATCCCAGGACCCTGGGATCATGACCTGAGCCGAAGGCAGATGCTTAACGACTGAGCCACCCAGGCACCCAAGAGTACAATTTTTGTTAGCTCAATATTTAAAGGTTAAAACGTTTTGATTATATAAATATTCTCCACAGCTGAGCCTTGCAGTACATTTCCCTTCCTGCATGGTGCCACCCAATCAGTTAGTAATTTTCTTGTCTTCACTGCTTAATTATCATAAATATATCCCAAATCTTCCCCAGTTGGGCCGATCTCCTTCAAGTATATAGTCAGATGCCTTAGCTATCTGATTGTTGAAAGTCTCTCCTCTCCTAGAGCCTTATGATCTACTCTAGTCTGGACTGCTTGCTCTCTAGAACTGCAGTACAGCACACATCTGAAAACTCCCTTCACCATTATCCTAGGGACTTCTTTCCTCCCTCCCTTGTGTGGAGTATCCTTTTTCCAGAATCTCATTTCTTTCTCTTTTGGTCTGCTACCTTCTTTGGTGGAATATGACCTCAGTAATCAGTAACTTTCTGAAGGGGGAAAAATTTTATGTCTGAAAATTTCTCTCTCTATACCAATGCTTTAATAGATTGACTATAGAAATATAGGTTAGAAATCATGTTTCTTCAGATTTCCAAGGCCTTGCTACACTGTCTTCTAGCTTCCAGTGTAGCTTTGAGAATTTTCATGATTCTAATCCTTAATCATTTTCTCTTTAGAAACTTCAAGGACTTTTTGTTCTTCCAGAACAAAATTTCACAGTATTGTACTTGGGGGTCTACTTTCAACCACCGTGTTGGCCTCTTTCATTATAGAAACTGCTCTCCTTCAGCTCTTTAAATTTTTCTCAGATTAGTTCTTTAATGAATTCCTCCCTGTGCAGTGTCTGCGTTCTTTTTTTAATAACATTCCTGTTTACTGAATGTTGAACTTCCTTGACTGATCTTGTAATTTTTTTGCTCCCTAAAACTTTCCACCTCTATTTTTTTTCCCTCTAGGGGATTCTCCTTTTATCCTTAAACCCTTCCACAGAGGTTATTTCTATTGTCTCACTTAATTTCCAAGAATTCCCTTCTCTAAAATTTTTTTATAGGATCATGTTCCTGTTTCATGGTCATAGCATCTTCTTTTACTTCTCCTCGGCTGTTGATAGTTTCTTGGGAGTTTTCATCTTAATTCATGATTTCTGTTTCTTCCTCATTGATGGAATCCATGTATTGACTTTGTCTCTGCTTTTCATATTAGATGCTTTCATCAAATATCTATTGCTCCAGAGCTATCTGCTCATATTTAAGACCATGGCAGTAAAGACAACTGGAAACGCTGTGCCTATGGTAGCCTGTCCTGGGGGGTGAGCTGGCTGGGTATTTTGTTGGGGGAAATCTCTGCTCTCAGTGTCTTTAGATTTTCTTCTCTTAGGCTAGTCAGATTCCTGAAAGAAAAATCTACTTGAGGGTGTAAATCTGGCTGCCAATGTTTTGTAGCCAAGTGGGAAGAGAAAGCTGGGAGTCTTGTAATTCAGTATGTAAACTTTGTCTTAATATCTTTGTTTTCAGTACAGTACTCTTTGCCTCAACTTGTGGCTAATGGCTCCAGGCCAGAGATCCTGTCAGGGAATAAACTCAACTCTTCTGTCATAGAAAAGGAACAGTTGCCTAGTTCAGAGAGGGGAAGAGAACTTAGGGGTCTACAACTTCTTCTTCTTCTTCTTCTTCTTCTTCTTCTTCTTCTTTTAAGAGAGAGAGGTGGGGGAGGCACAGAAGGAGAGTAAAAGTTTTTTAAATTAAAGAAGAGAGAGAGAGAGAGTCTCAAGCAGGCTCCATGCCTAGCGCAGAGCCTCACGCAGGGCTCCATCTCATGACCCTGAGATCATGACCTGAGCTGAAATCAAGAATCAGATGTTTAATTGACTGAGCCACCCAGGTGCCCCTTTTTAATTATCTATCTATCTATCTATCTATCTATCTATCTATCTATCTATCTATCTATCTATCCATCCATCCATCCATCCATCCATCCATCCATCTATCTCTCTAGGGTCTACAACTTCTTAAACATTTAACCAGGCTTCCTGTTCTTAAACCCACGTTTACCCCCACTTCCTGAGGATTCTGGTGCCACCATATGCTGAGTCTTCATTGGCTCTACCCAGCCAGCTCACAGATCAGATTTTTGGACTTTAGGGTTCAGACTTTTCTGTTTGCTTCCATTTGCTTTCTGTTTCACTGTTAACTTTTTTTGAGAGCTCTTTACCTTGTGCATTTTTGTCTCTTTAAAATCACTTTAAATTTAAATCTCAGGTTTCTTTGTGACTAATTGTGTGATCTAGGAAGAGTAGTTAACCTCTCTATGTCTGTTTCTCTATTTGTAAATGCCAGTGGTAATATTTTCTTCCTCACAAGGTTGTAATGACAGTTGAGTCCATTTATACAGAGCTCTTGGAAGAGCATCTGGATTATGGTAAATACTATGTGTCAGCTATTGACATTATTACTGAGAAAAGGAAGTGTGGCTAAAAGGAGTGCTGTTCATTTAATCTTCCATGTTTACCAGAAGTCTGCCCTCTGACTCCAGCTCTACAAGCCCCTATAGCCTAACTGCCTGACTTACTCCACAGCTTCTCAGGAACACATTCATCACATTTCTATTTTACTTCACGAAAGAATAATCCCCAAGTTAGAACAGTTAATCAAGTTTGAGAAAAATCTAAAGCTTCTCTGTTTTAAATGAACACAAGTATCCAGACACCAATTATTCATTTAATAAACATTTCCAAGAACCTATTATATCAAGGTGCTATGTTAAGTGCCTGGAAGACCCTTAAGGGGCTTACAGTTGAGCAGGGATAGGAAAAGTAAGTAAACGTGCAATTACAACACAGTGTGATAGATATGAAAAGGTAGAAGAGATAACATGCTTGCTTAAAAAAATTTTGCCAGTGGAAGTAACCTTGACTACTAAGTAGCAGTTAACCTGGCTGGGTGGAGGTGGGGGTGCAGCAGTGGGCATTTCAGAAGATGCATGTGTTATTAAGGTACAGATACGAATGAAGAGCAAATATGTAGCTCAGCAGATGGTTCGGTATGGCTGAAGCACAGAATGTGCAGGGATAAAAGAATGATAAGATACTGGAGAGGTAGGCAGGGGCCTGATCTCAAGAGGTCTTATAGCCCATTCTAGGAGGTTTGTTGGACTTTATTCTGGGGCAATAGTGAACTAATGAGAGTTTTCAGGAGATTCACATTTTAGAAAGGAATCCTTAACTGTATCGTTGAGTTTGGTTTTGAGGGGTGATGAATTAAGCAAAGATAACGAGATTTCTTTACATCAGATTCCTCAGAGCCTTTGTTAATATGTACTGTGAATTTTTGAGAGAAATATACAGAATAAAGCACTTCCCAAATTTATTTGACCCTAATAATGTGGACTCTGTTCTTACTGCACACCACTTATTAACATCTCTTGAGACAGCAGGGTTCGAATATCAAAGTCTGGGAAATGTGGCACCCACTATTTGGTGCCTAACTAACAAGCACTTCCCTCTTGTTTTTGGTGGTACAATGTGATTCCATCTGAGGTGATCCTTTCCCCAGCTCCAGCAGTAAGTCCTGACTGGCCCAAACTGGTCTTGGCCGTCCCATCCCCCTTAACAGCAGCTGATGTAGGCATATGCATTCGATGCAAATGTGGCCATGAAAGGAAAGGGAAACTCTGCTGGAGGGACCGGAGGAAAGGCTTTTATAGAGATAGGCAGGTGCAGTGTCTGTCGATGGCCACACCTGCAGGTAATGACTCTGAGTGATAAACAGAGCGAACATAACAGAGGAGATAAATGGGAAGAACCTGGTATGGTCAGAAGCCTTTAAAATTCTGAATTAACTCTGGGACTGCCCTACCTTGGATCTCTTATTTCCTTGTTGTATAAGCCACATTAAGTCGATATTTTGTTACTTTTATAGCTGAATTCCTTGTAACTGACAGAGAGGTTATCTTTAAATATCCAAGAGCTGTCATAAGAAGAGTAACTACATATTCAGTGTAGTTTCATGTTTAGAAATAGGACAAGTGTGTGAAAGGAAGACGAGAATGGATTTCAGCTAGTCCATAAGGAGGAACCATCTAAAAAGGAAGAGGCTGACTGGTGAGAGAGGGAGGGCATTCCAACAGAGGCAATTTGGGTCAGGGATGAATTGTCCCTAGAAATATTCAATCACGGAAATGTTACATGTCTGGGATAAAATAACAGAATGTCCGTGAGGTGAATGACTAAACGTCATGAACTGTAAGGCCTAATCCTACTCTATGAATCTGTTTAAAATGAAGAACCCTGAACTCACAGAATCAAACTAACTTATAATTTTAATTTGGAAGGAACCTTAGGGGCTTGGTAAAGATTAATGGATAGAGACACTGAATTTTGCAGAACGTGACGTCATCGTGCAATAGTTTATTGAAGGGAAGGAAGGAAAGTAAATAAATTTAAAGAGGTTAGTTAGACAACATCATAAGCTTGTTAGTGTCAGGGATGGGAATTCAAGTCTGCTAAAACTCCCAGGAAAATTTTCAAACACAACTCATCTTTAGAGATCTAGTTCATATTACAGTGTCAACATTTCTTAAGAAGTAGAGAAATCCTAATTAGTAGGCAAATTCAGTTATATCCCGCAGAAGCACAATTTGGCTCTATTGTTTGTTTTATAACTATGGCATACAAACATTTTAACTCGGGGATTCCATACTTACCTTTCATCTTCTTCAACTCTGAAGAAATTGTGTTAATGTTTTTAATTATGGCTTCCACATTTAGCTCATGGTCAGGAACATTATTCTTAAACATCTGATTTTAAAAGAGAAACAAAATGTATAAATTAGAAGCATTTACGTGCACTTTGAAAATACTTAAAGCTTTGGTATTTCTAAAAGGAAAATCTGTTATTTCAGCACTGAAATAATTCTGAAATGATAGTCAACATTACGGTTAAAATTCTAGTATAGTAAGTCATCAACTTGTTCGTATTTTCCAGCTGAAGACACCTCCAACTAGAATTCTTCTTTAATGAAACCAGATAATAAGATGGGGCCCTTACAATGGAAATGCAGAGGTCCCCTTTTCAGAAAGCCTCAGCACTTATAAACTACCTTATAATTGAGTAGTCGTATAAAAGTTTCTCTATTTTTGTTTATGTAAGACAGTGTATTCTTCTAACTGATTCTTGAATGACAGGGTCCACATTAAAACTCATTAAAAAGTTCATAGTAAAACTCAAAATAAGGTTCAATTATAATTTATAAACTAAGAAGATGGCAAAAGGACCACTTTTATTTTAGCTTTGGGAATTAGGGCAATACACTTTTTAAAAATTCTGGTTAACTAAAATGTGTAAATCAACAGGTTACCATGTTATATGTACAGTACCTATTTTTTTAACCAACTGTGCCAGGTACAAATACATAAACAGGTGGTTCACTAGAAACTAATCTCAGCCATTCAAATCTCTCAAAATGACTTGAAAAAATAAACCACAATTAGCATACACCACTCCAGCAGTGTG